CCCCCCCCCCTCCCCACGTGTTGACATTTTTGTTGGTGATACGGTCTTAAATACGAATGAGTGGTGTTTACTGTACGTTTGCCAGGCGTGTGACCTCCCAACTCTCCAACCTCCCTACTCTTCGCGACAAATGTCAACGTTCCCTAACCGTTTTCCCCGTTTTCATTCCTTGATCTCCGTTGTGACCCCAAATCAAAATTGATTCCTGTATTCATTCAATCTTTTTCCACGAGTCATTCTCACGGAAGGTTGTTTGATTTTTGTTGCTGCTTCATAATTGAATCGGTGGCTCCTTTCACACTGTTCATTTTTTGGAAAATGTTTCCTCATTAAGTGTGTGACGTGAACGCAGCTTGGTCGGGGTCGCAATGGACATCATATTGAATGTCTTGATGAATGTTGACTGTTTTATTTGCTTCGGTCGTCCGATGAGACTTTTGTGGATGCGTGCACGCATCTTGATTCCTTGGGTCAGGTGTGATGATTTTCACCGCCTGTCTAGTAAAGGACAACTATTAAAAACAGGCACTAAATTGCAATTTGGGATGACCGCTTTATGTTCAAATAGATAATCGGTGGTAAATTTGATTTGATTTCCTTGACTGAAGCACTAACAAAAACCTCTGCAAAAGCTCCAAGCAATTTTGTCTAAATTCTGTGGAACATTAGATTGTACTACTGAAGTTTCTGTAATGTGGCTGCTGGATAAATTGGCTTTGATTTGGTGGTTGTGAATATTACAACACAATTTGGAGGAGTGGTAACACGAATGAATTTCCCAGCTGATAAAATCTGATGGTATTTCCGTGAAGTCTTTCTAAAATCATATTCGTTATTAGAGTCGAATTCGTTTTTGTGTTTTTTGGACCATGGACAAATTTCCTCCGGTGTCACTCAGGAATTTCAAATGAGTGACACCGTTTCAACCATGCAAGTTTACAAAGGCAAACATTTTAATTTGTGCAATGAAAATGTTTGTATTTGAGACAGCACTACTATTGGAATTTCTGAAAAGCTCACCCAACATATTCGTGTTTTGTCTCATTTTTTTCCCTGACAAAATATATTGGCAGAACATTGGGTAATTCAGCGACGAGTGTTTCTCGCTTCTACTGTTGTAATGTGGAACTACATGCGGGAGTTGTGAAATTGAATAAACAACTGAAATTTAAGTGTTGTTTACTTTGTGTTTTTATGTATCAGAGGCAAATTTGAATTTCAGTTTGTTGTTCTGCTTGAAAGATCAACTGGCTTTGAATTACCTTAAAGTGTTTGATAAGGATCATACCGGTATATTGTTCCTGTCTTAAAATCGTGTAATAATTGACAAGGTTTGTGATTGCAACACAAACTTGAGCTCTTAAATTTTCACCTTAGTATTTAGATTGATAATGTTGAGGAACACTGCGGGTATTGGGCATCATTTGATTTGACCTTGACATGTTTTTACTGCAGTTATTCAACTGAACCACGGCTGCCATTTTTTTAAAAACAAATGCAGTATTATTGGGCTAACACGGGTGGACGTATAAAAATAACCTAAAATAAAGTCCCAAGTGCGTTAAAAAATGTAGATGGGTGTGATCAGTCTATCCAGAAAAAGACTAAACGACGGTCAGAAATAAAATGATGTCCACGCCCCTTGGGTTTGTTCAGCCAATAATGTTTCGAGATTATCGTGACCTCACAAACTTTTGACAAAGCGTGCAGGCCAACCAACTTGTTTGAGGAACTTGACTTTTGTCATCCAATCAAATGAGTGCGCCGTCAACGTGCTTCTCCCGGCACCACCGGATTTCTACTTCCGGTTGCATAGTCCTCTGACATCACAGCGTGAGTACCTTTCGTTCATTCATTCTGTTGAATTGTCTACTGCGATCTGTTTTAAGGCACCGTTAACCCGGAATAAATGTTTTAATTAAGCCTCTAAAGCGAATGGCTCGCAAAACATTGATAGCGTACATAGCGGTTGATGTAAATGAGCTAGCTTAGCTGCTTATTCAACTGATAAGTTTGGTAAGTTTATTCCTGGATGTGGCAAATATGTATTAAACTGTGATGACATCGGTTGACGCAGTTACCTTTATCTAACCACATTGACATAATTACTCGTGTGTTTTTACATTGTTCAGGCCAGTGATTTTTCATTTCTATTTTTTTTATTTTTTTGGGGGGGGGGGGGCAGTGGCTGCACGCAGCCGTGAGGGATCATCAGGATTTACCATGGGATTTAATTGCTCCGAAAATTTTCAACGATGCCCTACAAGTAATTTCTTTGCTCATCTATCTATCCGTCCCAGTGACATATAGTGACAGGCAGAACAAGTAAGATGACACAAGGTACAATTAACTCTTGAGATAATACAATATTAACGTTAATTTTCCCATGTGTTGACCCAAACATACATTCGCTGACCTGGCACGTGACCTTCTCCTCTCTCCTTCTGGCCGTGCAGAATGGGGAGTGTATTGGCTGCTGGGTTCCCCAACCCACCGCCACCGTCCTCCGCTGGTGTGGCTGGACCCGGCTTGACAGTGCCAGCAGGGTATGGGATGTCTTCGGTGTCTCCAGTGTCCACCTCGATTGGGATGACTTCAGTGCAGCCGCAGGAAGTGATTGATCCTCTGCCTAATCCGGGTGCATTTGATGATTGTCATCGCAAGTGCAAAGGTAAATGACAATATAAAATACAGTGAATCCCCACTATATCATGGGTCATTCTCCGACTTCTCTTTAGAGGTATTCCCGATGCAGATGGAAGGCGTCAGGTTCGTCATCAATAAGGGGCTTAGTAACCACTTCCAGGTTGGTTGACTCGCTTTTTATGTTTGATATACCCTGCATGACATAGCATCCGCTTATTGAAATGATGTCACAGTGAATATGTAATGCCGTGTAAAAACCCAGGACAGTCTGGCGAGTTAGTGTTACCTGCCTTTCCTTGGCGGTTTTCAAAATGAATCAGGGATACTTGTATCACAAGTTAGATCTCTCACCATAAATAAGTTCTGATTAAAATGGAACCAGAATAATAATTATTTTGTCAAAATTCAGGTGAACCACACCTTGCTGCTGAGCACTTTGGGGGATTCCAGCTACAGGTTTGGTGCCACATATGTTGGACTAAAGCAGACAGGTCCAGGAGAGGTATGACCACACTATTTTAAATGTTTAGGTTTTAATTATAGCCTTTTTTTGGTATTTATTAATACGGCACCTTTAAAATGACAACAGGACAATTGCATGAGGCTTTTGAAAAATAAAATGGCTAACAATGTTGCTTTGGCATGCTCTCAATAGTGTCCAAGTGTCATTTCGACAGACTTATCAAAAGCACTAATACAGTATATTGATTTTGAAACCTTGAAGTAAAAAAAAAAAAAAAAACATGTTTCTAGTCTCTAGGTTTTCGTTTATCATACAATGGAAATTGTGAAATGGCTGTGCTCAGTTTTTTCCAGTCATGGTGGGTGACATGGACAACCTTGGCAGCCTTAATGCTCAATTCATTCATCAGATCAGCAATAGCATCCGATCCAAAATGGCCTTCCAGGTACATTTCATCATATCATGAACGTCGTGACAAAGTAGTCATATTAAGCTGTGATCAAAAATGTCCCTCCAATATTTTACAGACGCAGCAACACAAGTTTGTCAACTGGCAGGGCGATGCAGAGTTTAGAGGGAAAGATTTTACCGCGACAGTTACATTTGGAAACCCCGACGTCCTAATCGGCTCCGGTAGGTCACCCACGCTTATCTTTTTTTATCCTCCACGTTCATTCATTTTATAATTTCATCTGCCTGTCAGGGATCGTCGTAACACATTACCTGCAGGCCCTCACGCCTGCTCTTGCTCTGGGAGGGGAGCTGGTGTACCACCGCAGGCCATCAGAAGAGGGCGCTGTCATGTCTTTGGTTGGCAGGTACACAGGTGAGTTCGTGGTCACCCCGCTGTGCGGTGTGGCACTTTTTTTTTTCATAGTGGAGTAGTTGCAGACCCACCTACGAGAGGCAAATTAAAAAGAAAATTCTTCACTTTTTATATGCCTTTTAATTTTAACCCTTTCATGCACCCTGTAACCTGATAAGATGATAAGCTGCCCACTGTAGTAACCACTGTCCCCCAAAGGGTTAAATGAACAAAAATGTTTTTTCAATTTAAATTGAGTTTTAGTATTTTTTTCCCCTGAACTATAATAACCTCGCCATAGTCTCACATTGATAAAACTTTTGAACTCAGGCACCGACTGCATCGCCACGCTGATGCTGGGATCGGCGGGCGCTCACGCCACCTACTACCACCGCGCGAATGAGCAGGTTAGCACGCCTCTGCTTGTGTTCCATCATGCCCCGTTTTGCATCACACTGCCCCGACCCATTAAATATTGTGTAGCTACAGCTCGGCGTGGAGTTTGAAGCAAGTTCTCGCATGCGAGATACGAGCGTGTCGTTTGGCTACCAGCTTGATGTGCCCAAAGCCAATTTACAGTTTAAAGGTACAGTACGCTTTCTTCGGCATGCATCCAACACAAAGCTTTGCACACAATTAAAAGAGGAAAGAATGAATGATTTAAGCAGTCATGTATCTGTTCTATGTATGTAAATACATAATTAATGAAAGCTCCATACGATTTCCTCCTCTCAGGGTCAGTAGACAGCAACTGGGTGGTCGGTGCGACTCTAGAAAAGAAGTTGCTGCCCCTGCCTCTCTCCTTGGTTCTCTGCTCCTTCCTCAACCATAACAAGAACAAGTTCCAGTGCGGTTTTGGCGTGACGATCGGTTAAACAGATCGGGCATGCGTTAAATGACCTCGTAGGATGGACTCGCTGATTTTGGAACACACGAAGCAACTATTTATCACTTTAAGTTAATATTGATAGCCTCGTGTTTTAATTAACCAACCAGCCATTTTGATATTTAGTGTTATTTCCTATAACTCATGAGATAAATCTAATGAACAACATATGCTCTTTTTTTTTTCTTCTTACTATGAAGTGAATGGTAATGTCATTTGTTGACGGGAATTAGTTATTCCCCTCACTTAGTTTGCCTTTATGTTGTACACATGTGGAGCAGTTTAACTGTATTATACTTCTTGAAACCTGGCAAAAAATGATTTTATTAAAAAAAAAAAATGGTCTGTCTTATTTTCTTTATTTAGCCGTGAAAAGCGACTGGACAAAACGAGGCCACATTAGGATCCACGTCCTGCTCACCACTGATATCTATGCATAGAAGAAATGATGCATTCAGTTTTTTGCAACAGTGAAATAGTAGCTGACCTGTTATCTTATCCATTGATGTGTTTCAATGATGTCACAACTCATCCCTGCTGACACGTGATGAAATGACCTTTATCTTGTCGGGGTACATTTTCCTTCATTGTCACTCAAAAAAAACAACAAAAAAAAACCACCAAATCTCGTGAGTCGTTCCCCCTTCCCAAATAAACAAAATAGAAACTTTAGTAGATGATACAAGCCCGTAAAGCAACAGAGCATTACATTTTTTGTTACTTTTTTTTTAAGTACATAATTTCTATTACATCACTGTGCATTTTTTTACATGATGACATTTGTATTTTTTGACGACATTTAAAGAAGAATGGTAAAAATGTGTTTTGTTTTTTGTCGGCGATTGAAAGACGTCATTTTGACCTTAAATTGTTAAAGTGTGTGGGGGGGGGGGATCACAGTGCCTCACAAATGAAAGGTAAAAAAAAAAAAATCAGCCACTGATCTTCAGACAAGAGTGATTGTATCAGGGGCTCTTGCGTTGTAATGTGGCACGACGAAAGTGACAACCTCGCATTCTGAGCTGGACTTTACTCCTTTCCTGCCTCCATATAAACTCACGTATGAATGCTGAAGCGGGACGCGCAGTATTCAGCAGCTTTTCCGACTGTGCAGCTCAATCACAGAGGTAAGAAAAGCTCAAACGGGTTGGAAAAGTTTTGGGGTTAGTCAGGTTTTAAAACAAACTCTACATTCTGATATCCGTCTTGCTTTGTCATCTGCAGCATCAGACATGAAGCTCCTCCTCGTCTTCGTTTTGGCTGTTTTTGCTGGTAAGGTTACGTTGTAATTTGGCACGACTACAAAAATAACTGCCAAGTATCATCAACGTGACTCAAGTCAAAAACAGGACAGGGAATTTTTAATCCTAAAAGGAAATATATATCAAGCCTCTGGAGCGTAATGCGGTTATTGCACATTGAAGTTGAAGGAGAAAAAGAAAAAAACGCAATTAAATCTTTCTGTCTCCAGGTTACGATGCCAAAGTCATGAAACAGAGCGAGCCCAAGCCGCAGATTGACATGGTCAAAGATGCCTTTTGGGACTATGTCACCAAAGCGACATCCACGGCTGGAGAGTCGCTGGCGCTGATCCGACAGTCGGATCTCGGAAAAGAAATCAAGTAAGAAATCAATCCCCAAATCGTTGAAAGCAGTCGGCTCAAGGCAAACCCCAACCTAACCACTAGGGGGAGCCCAAGCGCAGTGAACAGTCTGATTTTTGTATTTTTTTTTTTTGTTTTGGGAGAACTGTAGAGTTGAACATCTCTCGATAGATACAACTCTAGTCGAAAGTGTGTTTGGAAGAAGATGATGGCTTGACGTTTGTCCTTGCAGCACCCTGATTTCCGGAAGCACCGCCGCCATCAACAAATTCACAGATGTTCTCCGCACTCATGTGACCCAGGACTTCACTTCGCGCTTCTTCGAACAGGCCGAGCACCTGAAGACCCGCCTGGAGAAGGATCTGTCGGCCACGAGGGCCCACCTGCAGCCGTACGCCGAGGAGGTGGTGACGCACTTCCACGAGCAGGTGGACGAGCTGAAGAAAGAGGTTTCATCTTATGTGGACAACGTGGACTCGGAAGCTCTCAAGGCCGTCCTGTTGAGGAAAAGCCAGGAGCTGAAGAGCCACCTGGACAGGAGTGCCGACAAGTTACATTCCCAGATGATTCCTTACGCCGAGGAACTGAGGCAGAAGATGGAGAATACCCTGGAGGACTTCCAGAAGAACATGATGCCCCTGGCCCAGAGATTTCACAGCCAGCTGACCCAGAAGACCCAGGAGATCCAGGAGAAGTTGGTTCCGTACGGGGACGAGCTGAGAGCCAAGCTGGACATCGACACCCAAAACTTGAAGGAGCAGCTGGCTGCTCTCTGGGAGTCCTTCGCCAAGCTGACACAGTAAAAATTGACAAGAGCTGGACTCATGAAGCGTGCAATATTCTACCTCATTTCGATCTGCATTTAAGTCTGTTTTCTGTTCACGTTTGACTGTTACCCACTGCAAAAGACAATTAAAACAAATAATAACAATGTATTTTGTTGTGCTTACTGTGTTGAAAAAACATCAAATGTCCAACAGACTGTGATGAAAGTGGTCAAGCTTAAACTTCCAAATTCTGTTCAAGAACTTCCTGCGATAAATGAAAAACGTATTCATTTTATATTTGTAAATATTTTAAAATTTTACATTATACCAGGGGTCGGCGACCCGCGGCTCCAGAGCCGCATGCGGCTCTTTAGCGCTTTGGCGTGTTGAGTGATGTCAGAGTCAGCGAATTTGACTGTAGATTTGTGTTTACCTTTAGTCAGTGACCTGCCGCAAGTTGCGGCCATCAGTAGCTTGTGAACGAATGTGCTTATTTTGTTCAACAAACCGATTTTAATCCCCCACCTGTGGAGGAATTACAGTTGATCCCATCTAGCGCTAGGCTATATTAAATTAGCTGAAAAACTTTGCTTTACCATAGACGTGCAGTTGCGAAAGCCAGTGATGCGTTGCCGTTTATCTTCTTTTAACCCTTTCAGGGACAGCGGTCACTACAGTGGACAGACTATCACGTTATCAGGTTACAGGTTATCATTATTGGTGCATAAAAAGGGTTAATTGAGAAACGAGCCCAAACTTTTTGACAGTCTGTCTTTTACTCAGACTTTCATCTCTGTGGAAAAACAATCGCCACAAAATCCCCGCGATAGAGTGAAAAATGTGCGATATGAAATGAACACATCCAATTCCATTTGGTTCTGCAAAGCAAATCGAAACCAAACGCAGGACATTTCTCGCAGTACAATTCCCTCAGTCAATCGGTGAAGAAATGACGATGATAATGAAAATAATTTCATAACTGAGAGAATAATGTACTGTAGCAACATTTCCGACCGCTTCGGTATATCATCCATTTTTTAATTTTTTTTTTTTAATGGGCAGTTTACTTTTTCTCTGTCGCAGGTGAATATATAAAACTAACCAAGTTTATATGGATCGATAAATATCGAGTACAAAAAAAATTGCAAATCTCAAGTGACTCTAAAGCAGAATAATCAAGATCAGATTGTTTCAGGTTCCAAATTTTGACCCCATGACTCCGCGCGCACGTCAGAGTGCAACGTGGCGCCAAAATAACCCGCACAGCAATAAAAGTTGACAACGCGCTTCACGATGGGAACTTCGAACGCTCGGGGCCGTCACCCTTGTGACGTTTTCCTGGATCACATCACCGCCGGGCTAATCTGTATAAATACAGAGCGACGAGGCTCGGTCGACCTCGTCGGTCACCTGCAAGCGCTCCGGTAAGTTTTTCTACCGCCATCTGTACTTTACGTCTCTGACTCCAAAGAGAGAACTACAGTCATGTATCATTTCAGCTATCTGGTCTGGTCACACCATGAGGGTCTTTGTGCTAGTTGTCACCCTCGCAGTCATCTCAGGTAAGTTTCATCTGTCCGTTAAATTCGACAGTAACGTTTCGGGCTCACATCCTTTTGTTGGCTTGTCACCAGGCTGCCAGGGCAAAAGTTTCTTCCAAGATGACCCGGAGATGACTTGGGAGGAATACTTTCAAAACTATTTCACAGCTCTGAATACGAAGGCTGACGAGATAGTGAAGGAAATCAGGAGCTCTCAGATCAGCAGAGAACTGGAGTGAGTGAGTTTGTTTCCATTAGTACTATCATACGTGGTAAAAGTCACGCACTACAATGCTAACACGCTAAAAAAAAATAATCGCAATTCGATTGTTTTACCAAATTGCTCAGCCCCATCTGTGTCTCACGCCCCCCCATTAGAACCCTGATCCAAGACAGCATGGCCGAGCTGAGCGCATACAGAGAGGACCTGGGGGACAAGCTGGCTCCGTCCGTTCGAGAAGCCGCCGAACGTCTGAATAAAGACCTGCGAGAGATGCTCAAGCATTTCCGTGAGCGCGCGGGGGAGGCCAGGGAGCAGATGGAGCAGTACCGCCAGGAGCTGCAGACGGTGGTGGAGCAGAACTCGGATGACGTCAGACGTACGGTCGCCACCTACACCCGCAAGATGAACAAGCGCCTCAACAAGGATGCCGCCGAGTACAAAAGGTTAGCATTAGTATCATATCGTATTGTTCACCCAGAGAGTTGAAGTAAATATACAGTACAAGTACACTCTTCATAAACTGTATATCCAGTGGATAGAAAAAGTCTACACACCCCAGTTCAAATGCCAGGAAATAATTTTTCTTGCAGTGTTAGCTAAAAGTAAGCATCGTTAGCTTTGTAATTGCCTCAAGCCGCCCCCACTTCTCCTGTTTGAATCACCACTTACAGTAAGTATCCTTTGGTAAAATGAAAAACAAAATAGGGACACTTTTATTAACACCACTTTTATTACTGGCAATATGACCAAGGGTATCATGTTTGTTTTGTAAAATTTGAAGATAAGAAACAAAGATATGCATGATAAGCTTCACATGAGTTTCATTACCAGTAGGTGTAAAGGCAGCTAGCCGGATGACACACAATATGCTCCTGAGGCCTAAGCTATTTGTTGTCCTTCTCTCAGGCAAGTTGCCTCCTATTTGGAGAAACTCCGCTCCCGCACTTCAAACAACATCGAGGACTTGATGCGGAACCTGGGTACTTATTTTGGCAAGGTGCGAGACAACACCCAGGCGAAGATCACCACCCTGAATGATCTGCTGAAGTCCCAGGCGGAGAGCTTGAAGGACACGATGCAGACCACAGTGGAGGATATCACCACACGCTACCAAAAGACCTCGCAGGACCTGTACGACACCCTGCAGGAGAAGATGGAGGGTCTTAGCAGCTGGTTTCAGCCGGTTGTCTCCATGTTCAGCGACAATATGTGAACCACTATTCTAAACGAGCTGTCTGTCTACCACGCTACAGATGTAAAATGACGATGATGTGGTTTATGAATAAAGAAACTCACGCATGCAAAAGGATTTTGAATTTTATTCCGTTACATGGTGAAATCAAACTTATAGCAAATGGTGAGTTGGTTGGTTGTTTTTCTTTTAAAATGCAAAGGATAAACACCACATACACAACACATTAGCACCAGTTCTACTGTCAAAACAAGATAGAAATGAACAGTAATTTCACCTACATGTTCAAAAATGTTTCGGATATTAACAGTAATGCCCAATTGGGGGATAATTAAAAGATATGCTAACTCTGCTCATGAAATGAAAATGTGTGCGTGAGTGCGTGTGTGCGTGTGTGTGTGTGTGTGTGTGTGTGTGTGCGTGCGTGTGCGCGCGTGTATTATTTAGTAATAAATTAACTGTATAAATACTGTCTGGGACAAGGACTTTCCACAGTAATTCAAACGCATTTTATGTTCTTGAAAGGCAATATAGTAAATGGCACGATTTAGAGAAAATATTATCGAGCCCGATCCACATGTGAGTCACTGGCACCGTGAAACCGAACTTCTCTTTTACGTCACTTCAGTATCCAATGATATTACTCATAAATATTTTTCAGCCAATCAGAAATCGTTATATCTTTTGGGATGTCGCCGTTTTATGACGTCATTTCCAACCATGTCGCAGAATTCTAAAATGAAAACGTTTTTTATGTTAACATAATTTTCGCCTTCCGTCATAATGAGTAACATTTGTAGGGAGGTCATTACTCTTCAGCTGGGACATTACTCCAACTTTGTCGGTACTCATTGGTGGAATTTACAGGTGATGAACACAGTGCCGGCTACCATAGGCAGCTCTAATGTTAGCTTAGCGTGTGTTCGTAACCCAAACAAACAATCCTAACCAACGCGTAAAGTTTGTGAGGGTAAGCGTCATGATTTCATTTTATCAAATCATTGAAGCCCAATTTCTAAGGAAAAGCAGACATTTGGAGAGGAAAATATTTTGATTCACAGAATATAAACAAGTGGACATGCGTTTGGTCAGTCTGTTGTAAAGACTTGGACGAGTCAATATTTGCTTAGAAGTATCAGGTTTGTTCCCAAAACACACGTGTGAATTCACATTTTAAATTATTGGAGATAGTTACGTAATCCCGTGTCTAATCAAGAGTCACGACTATTCATATTTAATGTTGATTTGGAATTTTAATAATAAGCCCTTTTGTCTTTGTAGGATGCATCACTGTCATATGACCCAGAAATGCCACCTGGAGAGATCCAGAGTGATGTCTTGTTTCGTGAAGGCCAAACTCTTGGTGGGAGCATCACCTACACTCCGCGCCTCGTTGCTATGGATCTCAAAGGTGACTTAATGCAGCGTAAACATATTGTTTATATTGTCTGCAGTGAATCTATGAGAGATGAACAGAATGGATTTGTCACACAGGAAGTCTGCAGACTCTACGGCAGGAGGGAAGTCTCTATGACACTGGCAAAGAAACGCCTGCTCTTTCCTGGTAAATGAAGATTGACCGTATGCTAGCAGGTTTTTTTTTTCCCATGACCTTTTCATGCACCAAGCCAGTAAATTTTCATGCTAAGTATTCTCCAAATAACAGGGATGGAAGCCTGATGGTACATAAAGAGAGCCCGCCTACGAAAAACTCCTTTCTTGAAGACCTGGACATGTTGGATGTGAGTATTTGAAGTGAAACAGACAAGTTAATATTTAGACATGACAACATTGCTTTGGTTATAATGTCAGTCAAAGTATACAGTTGTTTCCTCAATATTCACTCTGATCCATGCTCTTTCATACCCAGTGTGGAGACGTACTGACAGAGGCACATTTTTCATCTGGCGCTCAATCTCAATGTAAACGTAAGTAAAACCTAACCACAGTTTACTTATTGCACACTTCTTTCCCTGAACCGTTGACTCGCCTCACAGGTTCTCTAAACGTGGATACTGTCAACAGTCGGCTTGCTCGAGTCCAGAAGAATTACAAGCTGGAGGGCAGCGTCAAGGTCTGGTCTGACTTTCTGCGGATCCATTTTCACCCTCGCACCATCTCCGTTATCCACCAATACAACCATGATGGGTGAGTAAGAGATTCAGATTTTTTATTTTGTGTTTTGTCAGTCGATCTAAAAAAAAAAAAGGTGCTTATAAGGACTTTAGAAATCCAACTGGGCGGCAGATTGGACAACAGGAAGACATTATGTGCTCTTTGGTTAATGTGTACAAAAGTAGAAGCATTTCTTCCCATTTTTTTTAATGACCAGTGAGGCTGATCGTCTGGAGGCTTTTGGCCAGGGGGAAGCACTGTTGCAGGGGGCAGTGCTGGAGGATCTGGATGACAAACTTCATTTTTTTGTGGAGGAGTGTGACTACTTCCAGGTATGTTGGTCTCAAAGCGACACGCACACACACTGTTTGCACATCTTGACCTGAATTTTTCAACATGTGAGGAGCTACTCTCTAATTCCTACACGCAACCGATAAAGTGGTTTTAACCTGTCAGTAGACATCGAAAGACGAAATAAATGTTAATGAAGCTGAGAGTAATGAGTTTTTTTTTACATAAAAATTGAATGAAAGTTAACCAATGAAAATCGGGCATTGTTTTTGAATTGCGGTTCAGCAGAATTAGATGGAAAAAAAAACCAGATACTTGTGAAAAAGGCCTGCCCCCCCCCCAAAAAAAAAAGCATGGTTACAATAGTTGGATTTTTCATGATAGTTTGTATTTTGTTTGGACAATTTGCTTTTGAATTCAGTTAGTTTTTTTTTTTTTTTTTGAAAATGCTTAATTTTAGTTTTCGATTTTGATTAGTTTTTTATTTTGTTAACAATTTTTTTTTCAAATTTAGTGATAGTAATTTCGGGTTTTTTTCCCATTAAGTATAATAACCTAGGACCACTAATGGCGACAACTCCGAGCGACTCGATAATTCCTATGACGGCATCTGCATTTCAGGGTTTCCAGGTTCTGTGTGACCTGACGAATGGCTTTGCGGGTCTTGGCTCAAAGGTCACAGAAATGCTACAGGACGCGTACGGTGGTCGAGGAATCCTAACCTTCGGGACGGCTCCCGTCAGCCACCCAAATTCAGTGCGTTTGACTCAACGTTCTCCATGCCAAGTGTTTAAATGCAGACGCTGACAGGTCCTCTCTGCTCAAGCAGACTCCAACGAAGGACCTCTACCATCTGTTGAACTGTGCATTAGGGATGGTCCACATGGCCAGTCACAGCTCTTTCTTCTGTCCGCTGACGCTGCGAGGAGGACTGGGCCTACGACCGTCGTCTCCCATAAGCTTCCCTTACCTGAACTATGACGTATGTCTTATTACTTTTTAACATTTTGGCTCTTGCTTTTTAGGACCTCCTCATTTCAACCTAGCAGCCTTGCCATTGAAAAGTGAATTGCATTTCTTGAACATCCTCGTCACGGCACTGACATTTTACGTGTTGCAGCCGTCACTTTGGTACCACTCCAGCTCGATACTGTCTCTCGCTCTGGATGCGCTCACGGTGCCGTACAGGCTGAGGAGCAACTGCATCCCCATGTGGCAACTGGCAGACTCGCTGTCGACGTCGGGGAGAAAGGTGAGTTGATTGTATTAGTTCAAGCCGATCGTACTTTGACTTATTTTGGGGCGTGTTTCCCAACTTTTATTTCGCCAAGTCAAACGTTGGTAAATCTGCCAGCACACACATTTGTTTGAATAGCAACAGGTGGCTAAATAGATGAGTTATATCTTCTCCCAGACCTAAAAAAAAAAAGTCAACATGATGTTCATTTAAAACTTAATGTAACTTGAGCATATTTATTAGGTGGTGGCAGCTTACGGTGCCGTCCCGTTTCCAATAACGCACGGCAGTTCGCTCCCTGATGCCTTGTGCGCTTGTGACTCGTTGCCATGGAAACCACTGTCTGCATGCGCCGAAGCAGCCGACGGGCGATGCTATGGCCAATGGGTGACACTCAAAGGCTTGGAAGGCCAAAGACTCACCAGGTAAATGTTGTCGCTTTTGGTACAGGCTGATCTTGCAGTTTGTGGACACAATCTTGAAATATTAATTCTTCTTTCTGATCAGTTCTGTTGCTCCGGGGAAGGAACTGCCATCTCGCCTTCACAGCCTCCACAGCGGGGAAGACGTCCTGGCGTCTTATATCACATCTTTCTATCCTACGGCTCCTCTGTAAGGCCCAAAACGTATTCATGCATCCGTAAAAAAAGACAAAAATCCACAGAATGGAATATTTTTGTTGTCACAGCATCTTTATGATGAGAAAACCTAACTTTCCTCCTTTTAGGGCTCTGCAGCTGGTATCCAGGCCCAGTAAAGTGATCCCACCTTTCCCCCAGATATTCAGTCAGTCTCTCAACAATCGAGGTCTACAGGACAGCCACCTGCTTCCAACCAATCGTGAGTTTCTTCAACTCCAGTTGATCCTCTGCTCTGAAGTGTTCATAGCAGTTTTCAAAGCTAAATTATCTGCTCCTGGATAGCTCTGGCCACCCCACCGGACGTCTCGTCTGTACCAGTCATCACATCCCTCCAGTCGGGGCCTGCGCTGGACCAGTGGCTGTCGGAGTTGCATCGCAGCGTCAGCGCTTTTGACATTCGCCGGGTGGCCCCCAGCTTTCTTTCGCAGGGACCCGAAATGGCAGACTACAGCGAAGCCCTGGAGCAGTTGCGCTTATTGGCTCGGAAGTACCGGGACGATAGCGGCGGAGCGACACGCTCATCTTCTGAGGACGACGACGACTGACGTTGGGTTGGACGGACTTGTTTAAATTACATCATGCTTACACTCCCCCCTTGAGGTACAGTGACACGAAAGCGGAGATTAAAACTGTTCACTAACATGCCAAGTAGAGGAGCTCTTGGGAAAGTAAACAGCAACACTCATCTTTTTTAGGATCATGTGACTCTCCATAAATCACTTTGCAATTTTAGTATGACCTGATGATTCGCGATGTCACTTTTATATTTTGCGTCATGAGATACTGTAAAGTAAGAAAGGCAGCCCGGTACTGTTAGAAGTGTAATATTCCTCTGGGTGCCGCGTCTAAAAACATATGCGAGTGGATGAACTTGTTACATTCAAAAACTTATGAACTGAAAATGTAACTTCTGGAGTGATGACTGACTTGCTGTTGATAAAGTCACCTGACCTCATTAAGTATGACTACCAATGAGATTTTATTTGATCGCAGTAGTCATTTTCCATTACAAATAACAGAAAAGGAAACTTTTTTTAAAATTTCTAAAGATCTAAAGAGACCATAAATCAAAACACAAGAGGCTTTTTTTTTTTTTTAAATAAAATGGTAAGGGCTTCCACAAAAGGTGAAACACGTATTCCAATCAAGCACAGTAGTATGTATTTCGCATCTATATTTGAGGACAAAAAGGGCAAAAATGCAAGACCACCAATTCAATGTGTAAAACTTGAGTAGACACAGACTGAAATTTTAACAAAAAGGCTCCATTTGGGGGTCTACAGGAAAGGACAAAAAGTGTTAAATGAAACGGAGATGTGCGTAAGACATCAAGCGCAAGCATCTCGGCTGTACAGCTACTTATATAAAAGAAAAAAAAAAAAGGGAAGTACCTGTGTGGGGGCTCCAAATTGTAAAAGGGGTGAGGGGACACACAAGGAGGTGGCAGTCCCAAAAACTAAACTACGAGCGGGAACGAGAGCGGGACTGCGAACGGGATTTGGAGCGGGATTTGGAGCGAGAGACCGAACGGGAAGCGGAGTGGGAGCGCTCTTTGGCGGGGCTAGGGGAGCGGGACTTGGATTTAGACTTGGACCTGGCTCTGGACTTTGAGTCGGCGGGGGAGCAGGAGCGAGAACCCCGCTCCTGTTCGCCGGTTTCATCCTCGCTCTTAGGAGGGTCACGACCCTTTGATGCAGACTTCCTGGAGACGGAACGGGAGCGAGACCTGGACCGGGACCTGGATGTGCCCTTCTTCCCCTCTTTCTTGCTCCTCTTGCTTTTGGGGCTGCGGCTCCTGCTCAGGTCTTTGTCCTTCTGGTCTCCGTTGCTGCGCTCATCTTCCTTTTTGCTCTTTTCTTTAGTCTTTTTGCTGTTGGAGTGACTGCGGGAGCGGGAAGCGGGCCTGCAGGCCAAAGGGTATGCAATTATATACTACATCAGGACGAGACCACGTGATACAAAACGGCATGGATCAGCTGAGGCACATTTAGAAATGGAAAAATGTGTTGACTATAGTGCACTTGCAAAGGGCACCAAATAACTCCTCTTCTGTACCACTTTAGGGCAATCTCCCAATATGCTGAGCAACACTTAAGTGTCACACAACTGTCCCGGTTGATTTCTCACCTGGAGCGGGAGCGGCTCCGGCTGCTGCTTTCACTGCGGCTCCGGCTCTTGCGGGACCTGCGACTCCTGGAGCGGGACCTGGATTGGGAACGGGTATTCGTACAGCACACACACACCAACATTAGAGATGTCCCACACAACATTTAATCTAGCCTGGAGTTCATTGCACGAAGGAACCACTTCTTCGTACCTGGAACGGCTTCTGCTGCGGGAATAGGAGCGGCGGCGTTTGGCTCCGGGGCGGTCTTCGATGAGACGAATCTTTCTGCCGTTGACCTCGGTGCCATCCAGCTTCTCCAAAGCCCGCTTCATGTCGGCGTACAGCCTGAACTCGATCACCCCTTCATTCTTTCGCCCCTTGTGCGTGTCGGCGTAAGTCACCTCGCCCGCTTGTCTCATGTAATCCTTCAAAACAAAAAGGCATATTTTGTGATGGCGGCGCCAATATATGTATGTAGTATTTCTCACTACCGGAAAAATCGTACCTTTAAGTCCTGCCAGCTGCATCGGCTGGACAGATTCTCAACAATGAGCCGATAGTCCGTCCTAATAGGTGGACCATAGCGGTCTCTGCCCCAACGTCCTCCGTAACCACCTTTCAAGGTAACAAGGATAGAGCAACAAAATGAGGACCACGCGGCAACGGAGATGTGCTTATGATTCTGAACTCCACACTACTCTAAAAATAATTAGACACTTTGAGAGTAATCAAAAAGACGTTTAAATTTTAAGTTCATAAATGGCTCAAACAAAAAAGACATTAAAAATCTACGTACATTTATCAAAATTGACAAGTTAAGCTACTTCTGGCTATACTATTAAAAAAAAAGCAATTCATTAAATAAATAAAAGAAAGAAGAGGCTGTATTCTAAATCATTTAAAATTACATAAAACTCAAGAAGGAAACAGTTCCGGTGAACAAAAGATTCTAAACTAGCCTAAAAACAACTGACTGTTAGAGTAAATGTTCTTTTTTGAGGCTGAACCCACATCTGTTCCTAACCCCCATGGCATCCTCACCACCCGGCCTGGGCTGGGCCTAATGGCAATAGCGGTCTTCATTCACAATGGCTCCCTTTTTTGGTCTGCCCAGGGGCCCAGAATGGTCAAACCACACTCTTGGAAAGGGGGGACACCATGGCCAGCAATAGGGCGGGCAGTCAGCAAAGGACTCTTTCAATTGAAACATTGAGGTTCTTTGTTAAATCTTTACCTTTAAAATTGACAATCAACTTTAACAAAATGTGAAAAATAGAATCAAAACAGCATTCACAACATACTTATCAAAATGAGTTAAATTCATGAAAATAGTTTTCCTTTTGCAACTACTTTTTAAAAATGTCTACATGTTTTAATTTCACTATTTATTGGTGGCTTGGATGCACCCAAATGTAACAGAAAATCGCTCTCGTCTGCAATTTATTTGTCCAAAGGGTTTTGAATTTCATGTAATTGGTCAAGTTTGCAAGACAACAGCCAACACCCGCTCAGAAATTTCCGAATGCAAAAACGGGGACACGCCTGTTTGAAAGAGGGCCTTTGAAAACCAACCACAAAAACTAGGCAGAACAAGTTGTGGAGGGCGTCTACTTGCATTTATAAACATCTGCTGAAACCGAAATGTTAACTTGGCCATCCAAATGCTGTAAAGCATTTCCCAACATTTATGAAGCCAAATCACAACATTTCCATTAGAAAAAAAGTAATACTACTGGAATATAAGCTTAAATTGTCTTTACTTAAACAACCGTACAAATTTGTCTGTGCAACATGGGTTCGTATAGCCGTATAAATGCTCCGTTTTTAAAGGGAATGCACACAAGCCACCAAAAATCAATCGTTAAAAACACAGCAAAGTAAATCACGTATTGATTACTTTTTACTACATATTTATTCTGATAAAAAACAGAACGTTTCGTGGATGAACTTACTCCTTCCTCCGCCTCCTCCACTGTAGCCTCCATCGCGACGGGGTCCTTTGGTGTGCTCCACAATCACACGCTCCCCGCACAGCTCCTTCCCGTTCAAGTCGTACACCGCGTCGTCGGCGTCGCGCGGGTCATCAAATTCAACGAACCCATACCTGCAAAGAACGTTCGCATTCATTACGACGATCCGACACAACACTCGCTTCCATTACGGCGATCCGACACAACACTGTGCAATGATTCATTGTAATCATGATCCAGAAAGACTTCAGGGCTGCAATGAACGGACTGAAAAGGTAGCAGTTAGGAAATTAAGACGGTTGCAAATGCACACTCGCGCACGCTCACATCGTGACATTGCCACGTTTAGCGTTAACAAGCTCCCGTAGTAAACTAACCAATATTAAGATCGCAGATGAGGTCTTGTGTAAAAAATATATAGATATATATATATTAACATGCACAATAAGGCACACTAGACACTGAATCGATGGTTGCATGAACGTCTTCGAACAAAGAGAATTCGATCAGTAGGCCCTGCACCGACGAACAGGCCCATACCAGCAGGTTAGCCCAAGCTAACCGACATTAGCTTTCTGGCGGTGTCATGGCGAAGAGGAACGAAACGTTACCCATTTTTTAGATCGACTTCCAGTATCTTCCCGTAGCTCTTAAAGAACCTCTCGACGTCCTTTTCTCTGGCCCGATAGCTCAGCCTTCCAATATACACCCTCGACATTTTTGTCGAAAGGAAAAGAAGAATGCGAGAAAATAAACGCGGCTTTTATCTGCTCAATGGGCCGCGGCGACGGAGGTGTGGTCTAATCTCTTCTTCGGCGCTTTTTAAAAGTAGTGAAAAAAACTTTGGATTGTATCACCGCTCGCCATTGGAAAGGCAGGGAACTGTTTTCGGGTGCCGACCTGCATGCATGCGGCGGTCCACTGTGATACATTTCAACTGTCTGTTTATAAACTTTGATTTGGTTCTAACTTTTATTTAATTTTCTATATGCAAACACGGTGTGCAGTGTCATGTGCGTTACATTACAGTGGCTTAGAATAAAATTTAAAACATTTGTTGCTGTTGTTTTTAGGAATAAAACTTCTGCTACATATTAATTGGCTACGTATTTTGGGCGGTACTGGTTTGAAATCACAAACATTACCCCTTTAAAGGTCATCACACTGAAAAGTCGTCAAAAGTTAAGGATTATTCATTTACAATTGCTAAAAGTTATACTACACCCTTTAGTTGCAGGATGTTGCGAACGTAATCCACGCTATGGGCGGAGCTACCACCAACGACGGGGGAGTGTTTTTGCCAATAATCCCTTGGCTAGTTTCGAACTTTATCGTAATATACTTTTTATAAACAATGTTGTTTTGGGGACGGCGGCAGAATGAGCTTGTTCAAGGTGTCCACTTGTAAGACTCAATGGAATGTGCTCCATGGGTTGAAAGCAAAGTGAGGTCTCATTTAGAGACAAATAACGGTACGCGACGCCAGCCGAATGTTAGCTCAGAGCGGAGCCAGCAGGCTAACTCGGGCTAAATTGTGATGGAACGCGGGGCCTTTTCAAAATATTCCTGGATTGATTTCGTCTTCTCTGTCATCGGCGTATGTACTTTTTTGGTGGACTGGGGCTCCGATTTATGGGTCGCCGTCGAGTTTTACTGCCACGGTGACTTTTTGTGGTTCGGGGCACTGGTCGCCCTCATGATCCTTTCGTCTTCCGTGGTCCAAATGTTCAGCTGGTTCTGGTTGAAGTATGACCGCCAACTGCCCGGCTTCCGAAATGAGATCGGAGCCGAAGCGGTGCTCTTTGTGGACAGAGTTAAACTCACCTGCCTGTTGCATGTGCTGCAGCTGGGTTTCTTATGCAGGTAAACACGTGTGTGGATATAGTGTTAAAAAATCCCATTGCTTGTTTGTACAACTCAGGTCGAAAATGTGGAAACACCTTGTACCAAAGTATACAAGTTTTTATTGTATACAAAGTACTAAATTCACTCGACTCCCCACTCCACTCCTTATACTAAAGCAAATGCAAAAAAATATAGTCGCTGAAAAAGTAAAGTACTGCTATTTAAGTAGAAGAGTAAAAAGTAAAAGTACAGGACTGTAATTCATTTTAAGCAGTCACGCTTTTGGTCTGCGACAGGTTACGTGCAACATCACATTGTTGTGATACCAAAATGCTTAGACACTGCACAATAACTTGTTCAGTCGGACATTTTTTGGGGTGGTTTCTGACATGTACACAAAAACTGTCTAGACCATCATCAGGTTCCCAGCATGCCAGCATATAATTACATTTGACAAGTGCCATGACCATAAACGTCAAGTTCAGGTGTGGCGGCGACAAATAAATTTGTCGGTGCAGCATCCTGTCACATTCCATAGCTGTTCTCCTTGGCTGAGGTGTTGAGATCCGCTGCACGATTCACTGTGCGTCATTCAACAAGTCTTGTTGTCACGCAATTCCCCTCACGTACTCTAGGCACATCTCGGCCATCAGACAAGGCTTCCGGGTATGGTGGCGGAAAGAGGAAGGCTCTGAGTATGCCGTCTACCTGACCCACGACCTCAGCATGCTGCGACTCATCGAGACGTTCTGCGAGAGCGCCCCGCAGCTGACGCTCATGATCTATGTGGTGCTGCGCACCAACAAAGCCAGGACCGTCCAGTGTGAGTTCTCCTTTTTCACATTCGGGCTGATGTACACAAAATAAGCATAAGCTGATGATGAAATTGAGGTCAGGGTTCTCAAATCTAAACTCATCCGCATAACTCTTCCAAAAGAATGGAAATACACTTATTTTTGTCCATATGAAACTCTTCAATGCACTTCAACATAGTTTTGATTCCACAAGATTGGTGTGAGGCACTGCTTTTGTAGTAACGCTTCAGTCATATCATTTACTTATTGGTATCGGGTCGATACGGGCCTTATTTCAAGGTATCGGGTAACCATCTAGGATGCCGATACCCGCCACCGATACTACCTGCCAATCATGCAATCAATACGTTTCCTCCGTTGCCATATTGATGGTGTCACCTCCGTGTTTGCAGTCGTCAGCATTGTGGCATCAACCACTTCCATAGCCTGGATGGTGGTGGACTATCACCGCTGCCTGCGCTCCTTCCTACCAGACAAGGCCAAGCAGGGTTGGGGCTCCTCGTTCGTTTACTTCCTGTGGAACCTGTTGCTCATCTCCCCTCGGGTCGCTGCCCTCGCCCTCTTCGCTTCTGTCCTGCCCACCTACATTGCCGCCCACTTCCTGATCGTTTGGTCTAGCTTTGTCGTATGGGCTTGGCGCCAGAGGACCGACTTTATGGACAGCGTCGGGGGGGAATGGCTCTACCGGGCCACCGTGGGGCTCATTTGGTACTTCAGCTGGTTTAACGTCGCCGAGGGTCGGACTCGAAGCAGAAGTATCATTTACCATACCTTCATCACTACCGACGGAGGAATCCTGCTGGCCACTTGGTGGTGCTACCGAGACCCTGTGACCTCCCAATCTTATGCAATGGCGCTGCTCATCACTCTACCTCTTACCTACCTGCTGGGACTGCTCTTTAAATGCATCTACTACTGTTGCTTCCACCCTAAACTGTGGAGGCCCCCGCTCAGGGAAGCAGGACTGCCCGACGACTTGCCTGATGCAGAAGTGTCCTTCAGAGAATTTCCCATCCAGGATGGTGCCCTATCCTCTCAGCTGCTCAACAAAAGGATGGCGCACAATGCGGCACTCTTTTACTCCAGTCAGTGAAAACGCTGGAGGAGGAAAAAAAAAAAGAGAGTTGACTTGTCTACTGGTAACGGTTGTTATCGTTTTAGCCTGTTTTTGTGTGTCCTCTTGAGACAGTCGACATGATGGGCTAACATTAGTTACACCCGCATAATCCTATGATACCCAAATCTTTGTGACATGAAATTATCAACATGGCACATTTCGAAATACAATTACATTCTCGTGGCGCAGCAATCCCCATACATGCTGCAGTAAAACTGTTTACCAAGTCACGTCATTCTTTCGTGTGTTAACCCTTTCATGCACCAATAATGATAACCAGATAAGCTGTCCACTGTAGTAACCACTGTCCCCGAAAGGGTTAAATGAAGGGAATGACAGGAGGGACATTTTAAAAGCTAATTTTTCAAATTAATCCCCCTAACACACATTGTTTGGGATTGATAATGCACTCTCACAAGGGTGGAGAATTGCTGCTAATAATGTGTACGTATTTACAGGTGTACTTAAAAGAACTTGGACAATAGTTAAGCTGTGGCAACATGTCGTAAAATAAAGTGTCAAGGAATTTGACTGAAAAATACATCTTTTGTCGTCAACTTGCAAGCTTTTTTTATTTTATGTTATTTTTTTTACACTTTGATTCTTTTATGGGGTGAATTTATGTCAAGAATGCATTCCAGCCACAAGTGTTTCCCTCTGTATTTTATCATCTGCAACCGCTGTGTGCAGGAAGTGAGAGGCGGGGGCAGTTTACTTCTCAGCAACATCTCCTGGAAGTGCTCTTGGTAAGCCATTGTTTAGTTTACACGGCATTTGAAAGACATTCGATTCCAAGTTGGAGTGGTTCCCAACCCTTAGTGAGCCACAGCACCCGTTAAACTTTTGAAAAAAATCATACGGCAGTCCACCTAACACAAACAAACAAAAAGTCACAAAAACATAAATGCAGAAATAATGATAATCTTGTCTGACTTCACTTACAAATCGACTCAATGTGAAATCGTGGCGTGTTTTATGCAACACAAGATGGATTACTTCCAGGAAGCCATGACTCATTCTTTATATGAATAGCGATAGGCGGATGGACTGCTTTATTATCCATTCTGCTATTTAATGGTTTAATTATTTTACCCATCATAGACATCAGTGACAGATAGATGAAGAACATGTAAATAAATAATTTGGATGATTTTCAGCACACTTGGCATCCCACTGCCCTCATTTTCATGGATCCTCAAGATAAACTCTTAATTCTGATGTTTAAATACTATTCAGCTATTTATTTCATGTCATATTTTTTCTCCCCAGACCTTTTTAAAATAAACGTGGCAAGATTTCAGCAGGCCTCTGATTTCGTTTTATTTTTTGTTTGTTTGTTTTACACACAAGCGTTGCCCGTTTAGCTTAACGCTAGCAAACAATTCAAACACCATAGATGGGCTACCTAATAGCATCAATGTGGTGTTTCAACAATGGATATTAGAAGTCAAATGGTGGACACACAACAGGCAAATTCTTTATCCTCTGCAAAGAATGACCCCAAAAAAATGTGAATTATTTCTTAAATTACATAAACTATTCTAGTACGATTAGGGGTTGAAAGACTGGAATTTTTCTGAATGAAGTAAAATGAATGACCGTTATCCCATGAGGTTTTTTTTTAAACCGTATGCCTTTAAGAGTAGGCCTTGAGGGCAGTTTTTTTTTTTTTTTATGGAGGAGGAGTGCCAAACTCAAAGCTCTCTTTTTCTGTTCAAGTTGAGTCATTGTGAAAGTGTCATGGGAAGAGCTGCACCAGCATGTAGCACTCCGCGCGAACCATGAGTGCGTTCAAGTTCTCCAAGTTGGATTGTTTCCTCACTTATGTGGGCCTGGCATTTCTTTTGTTGGACATTGGGCTGGACATATGGACTGCGGTGTCGCTCTACCAGGAAGAGGATTATGTTTATCTCGGCATCCTGATATTTGTCCTCTTGGGCTCGTCGATGCTTGCTCAAGCCTACAGCTGGCTGTGGTATACTTATGACGACTTTGTGCGGCTGACAAAGGTTGAGAGGTGTCTCAGTCCGAGGCAGCTGAAGGCCGTGCATTTTTTGCAGCTGGGAGTCTACTTCAGGTTCGTAGGCAGATTGTCTGCTTTCAACACATGAGGTGGTGTGTTTTATTTGGAAAGATTGTTTGGCTTTTACACGTGTCTTCCCCAACTTGCCCTTTCCAGTCCATGAAAATCCGACTACTTACAAGAAAGTAAAACGTGACATTAATTTACAGGTTCCAGCATGTTGCAGTGATGTGGCGCGCTGGAATTTTTTGCTTGCCTCTGAGTGTCTAGCAGCAGAGTGAACAAATCGTTTGCACTTATGCCTCATCGTTCTGCAATTCAGGTTTTGAATTTCGGCTCAGGCCTTTCTTCTGTGTTGTTTGCACGATCTCCCCGTAGTCCAGCATTCCAAAAACATATGCTATGTTTGCGTTAGGTTACGAGCAGCCACGGCAATCACATTTCAAGCGACCGGGGGTGGCCGTAGGGGGGATGGCATGAGCAAACGTGACGTGCCGTGATTGCTGTGCGTGGCGAGTCAGAGCCGTCAAATAGTTTGCCGCTTCAGTCGGATTGTAACGTCAAAAACGTTAAGAAAAATAACGTCCAAAATGAAAAGGACATTGATTAACTGACAACCTAAAATTATTTTTTTTCATGCTCTATTCAATGTATTTTGTTTTACTATTTACTTGGGACATACAAATATTTCATTTGGGATTTTCCGGAATGACTGCACCTTTGACCTTTAAGTTAAAATAAGGCCAAATGAACCATGAACTGATACCAAAGACAGTTTAAAAACAAAAATTACTTAACCCTTTCATGCACCCTGGAACCTGATAACATGATAAGCTGTCCACTGTAGTAACCACTGTCCCTCAAAGGGTTCAAGTAGAGTTGTTAACTTACGAAACACTTCCACAACTTTCCAAAAATTTGATGTGGATTTTGAGTCTTGACTCTGTTCTTTCCCAGGCATGCTGGTGTTGTGGAGATCACATCGTGCGGATGCATTACAAAAACCCAAGACCCAGTTGACGCTGCGGTGTTCCTGACTCATGATCTCAGCATGCTGCGGCTCTTTGAGGCTTTTTCAGAGAGTGCGCCGCAACTGGTTCTCATGCTCACCATCATGCTGCAGCGGGGCCAACTGGATCCTCTGACAGGTACGACATAATGAATGCCGTGGTGTGTCATTAGACAAGGCTATGGCCAGACTAAACCAAGCTCCTAATCTCACTTCAACATAGTTCCTTGTCACCAAGATGTACTGTAAATAAGTTGGCGCCCAAAGCAATATTTTTACATTAGACATGGCTTTGGTCCAAGCACAAAAAACCAATTGTATCTCAAATCAGCTTTCACCAATGAAAAGAATGGAAACGGCATTAAACCATTCCAGTTTCCCTTAGAAAAAAAAAAATGTTGTGTATTTTAATTAGGAAAAAACATACACAATCAAAAATATGCAGTTTTTGTCACACTTTGTAACAGAAATTCGTGAATCATGGCACGTAATAATGTAGCCTGTCTAATGTCGTCCTCAGTCTTGAAAGCCTTGGGCTCGGCTTCAGCCATTGCCTTCAGCGTGACGACGTACCACCGCTCCCTTCGCTCCTTCCTGCCCGACAAAGAAGAACAACGCATCGCTTCGTCGCTCATCTACTTCGTCTGGAACCTCCTTCTGATTTTCTCCCGGCTGGCGGCCGTCGCCCTCTTCGCCTCCATCCTGCCCTGCTTTGTCTTCACCCACTTCATTTGCTCCTGGATGATTCTCTTCTTCTGCGCTTGGCGCTGCAAGACGACGTTCATGGACAGCCCAGGTGGGGAGTGGCTCTACCAGGCCACTGTGGCCGTCATTTGGTATTTTGACTGGTTCAACGTGGTGGAAGAGAGGACTAGATACAAGACGACGTTGTATCACGGCTTCATTCTTCTTGATATTTCCCTTATATGTGGCTTGTGGTGCTGGAGGATGCACACACAACCCCCTTCTTTTAAAATCCCCCTCCTGTATGCCTGCATCATTGCCTTCAGTGTGGTTGCATTTTACATCTTTGGCCTTATACTCAAAATAATCTATTACAAGTGCTTTCATCCGAACCTCACGAAAAAGGAGCTGAGGGGAGATTCCACAAGCGCTTCAGAGAAGGCGGTCATGTTCTCAGCCAGTAGTGCGGTGGTGGAGGACAGAGTTCACCACATTAGCGATCGAAGTTACACAATTGAAGATGTAGTGGACGGCGCCGTGTCACAAGCTGACACCAGAGTTTCCAATAAAAGAATGAGGAAGCTGGCTGAGAATTTCTACTCATGACACAAACATTTGACATGCACATGGATGACCGACGCACAGATGTACTGCATGTCACGAGGGAGCAGTTCTCCAATCTCTACGAGGAGCAATTGACCGTTCGTTCAACGAGTTCTCCAATCTCTACGAGGAGCAATTGACCGTTCAACAGACTGTTAAGAGTGTCATTGTTATCCTCTATATTGAAAAGACGATGTGTAGACCACACTTTTATCTAAAAGGCACAGTACAGTATTCAAAGGGTAAGACCTGACTGTTCAAAATTGAAGGAAACTACAGCATTTGAATGCATTACTTGGTCACGTGCACAATTGAATGACATCCGATAAATCTGCCAACACAAAGATAATGCTTACTTTAGGTTGGCACCGCCAAGAAAAAATAATTTAACAATGTGATTATCGTTGTAGTTTACGGTGTGAACTTGGGGTGGACGATCAATTGGCATTTAATTATGATCTCGGCTTCGGCTCTGTCGATCTTTAAAGCGTTCTCATCGAAGACAAACGATTATTGGACAGAACGGCGTAGTGCGTGTACAAGTTCCCGACGTTATGAAAGTACCCTGAATACACCATGTTGCTTGATTGGCAAGCGTTTAGCCGAGCGTGTGACTCTGCTGTCTTTAAGCGTCCTTAAGGCAGTTTATTGATACAGTCGTTGGAGTTTAGATTACAATTTAACACACAAGAGGAATTAGACCATTGTATATTCAAATTCAAAATATTCTTCGTATTTGAAACATCGCAAGCTCAAATGCTAAAGTTAATGCAGTATTCCATTCAAATGCTAACAGGAAATTAGCATCGCCTTCGGGAGTGACAGTCCTTCAAAAACGAATATTCACCCCCAAACGCTGTGGAAACACAGCCACACAGGTAAGATAACACTACTCCAATCACAAATTCTTCCTAATTTGTGACAAAATGAGTTATAGTAACTGAGTTTAATCTTGCGTTGCCACATTTCAGATCTGGAAATAAGGGACACTCCTCATGGCGTCTCGGCAAAACCACGCGGGGCGAAAGAAATTTGAAGGTTTGTCTCCCCAAACAACCCTGAAATGCAAAAAATCGTATGTATTTTTATTTGGAAAGAAATGCTTTTATTTAACTGACATTATTTAATATGTCACATTAGCCTCTGGGCCCAGGGTTCACTTGGTCGTCAGTATGGAAGAAATCAAGAAAGCACTGAGACGTACTTAAAGATGAAAGTGCTTCATTAGCAATGAACATTGTTTTTTTTTACCCTTATAGACTGAAGTAGCCTGAACCTGAGTATAGCCTATAGGCTATTAAAAAGTGTTGTAAACGAAGCAAAACCTGTTCTTTATTTTGTTCATTATTGTGAAATTCAGTGTTCACGTTTGTGTGTGACAGACGCATGGGACAATTAGGAAAATACGGAACAAAACGCGCAACATGATTCGTATTTTACGGGACGGGTGACAACCTGAGTTTAATCGCAACTTTCTTCTGTTCTCATTCTACGTGTGTAGTCCATCCATGAACGGCACCGCACTGCCCCTAAGAGGCCAAAACGAGCATGAACAGCCGGGAATTGTTCAGTTGTTATCACAGTATTTTGTATTTTACTTTCTTACTCATTACCGTAATTGTATTTATAGCTATTTATATTTATAGTTTTATCGAAAGTTGAGTTTTCAAAGATTCAAGGGATTATCCTCTCCTCAAAATTCAAGCATACAAAAATCAAATTACTGTTGTTGTTGTTGTACCAACATGTATTTCTAATTTCCTCATGACATGCTATGAAATACAATCTCCCATCTCCCAGGTTAGCCCACTAAGTCCCAAGTCTTGTGAAAGCAACACAGGGCAAATGTCTGCAAAGATGCAAGGAAACAGTTCAGTTTTACACAGAAAGCTACAATAATAAACAGTTTCTTTCTCACAATGTCAATCCAAACCGAGTATTAAATTTCTAAAAGCACTTTTTGATTCAGCTCTTGAATTGGATGTAATTAAATTGTGTAAGCATGTTTAATGGTGTCTCAAACAAAAAGCACAGCAATAAAAGGCTGCAATTAGTTTCCAGTTCACTCATTGTATCAAACCCTCAGGACTTAACTATGAGAATAACTACAATCACAGATAGCGTCACTTTATGAACAATACATCAATATCCTATAACATGCACTATTATATTAAAATGATTGTTCGAATACTTGATGTTTCACGCGATTGCATTATTTATGAATGGAAAAAAAAAAGATTTGTATTTATTTTTGTATTTTGAAGAAATACAGACAGGCTTGCTCGTTCAACTCTCTGTGAAAATATGCAAAGACACTGCTCAGCGTATTTACAATATACTGACTTTATCAGATAAACAGGAAATTCTTACAGCGATGTGTTGAGGTCCTAAACAGCTACTGTGGTCTAAAGTCCTGGCCATGAGATGATTTAAAAAAAAAAAAAAAAAAAAACATTACAAAAAAATAACTTTGACTAACATTGTACTTATAACATTGCATCCCCATTGTTTACTTTAAAACAGACATGATATGCATGCGGGGTCACTACAGAACAGAATTGTTTCATGTACCAAAAATGGTAGCGCCATTCCGTCAGTTGAACATAAAAGTGAACCAAAACTATTCGATTGCTTTGTTCAACGTACTTTTTAGTTACCACTTTTAGTAATCTGAGCCAGTAATAGCATTTAGTACTTATTGATTGTCTCCAAGCCAGTATGATGTCATAGCAACTAATAAATGCAAACGATTCTATTCAACAGTAATACAGAGCACACAGGATTCAGGGAAATAAAACAAAAAATTCTCGAGTACATTTAAAAGAAAAGGGCTCGTCAGCGCCACATGAGGTTGCTGACATCTAAACCGAGAGAAAAATGACAATTTGAAAGAATTTCCACAAAATGTAATGGATTCGGGCGAAACAAAACCGCATTAAAAAAGGAGAAATAACACTTAGGATACCAATACATTTTTACAAGGACTAAACCAAAACTTACACATTTCCCTTTGAGATTATGCATACAGATACATAAAGGCACAATATAAATATGCAAAACAACCAAACAAATGCACACAAATACACATTCTTAACGGTCCGAAAGCTGCGAGTGAGTAAAGACCAAAACCTTCAGGCTCAGAATTGTTCAGTCATCGTGGCGTGTGGACACAAAGTTGACCCTGCCCCCTTACTTTCGAAACTATCGTTAATGAGCAATGGAAAGATGTATTGCACAGTCGCCATCTCATTTGTACCGTTTCAGTTTGCGTGATGATGTCAAGCTTATCAAGCTCGCTTTCATTCTCAATTTTACCACAAGTCCAAATCCGTTCACTTAACTGACATAAACAACTCCCACCCAGGATTGCTCGACTAATGGATTTAGTTTTTGGTTGATATTTGGTTTCGACATTCAATTGCATGAATGAAGCACTTTCGGAGGCTCAATTTGACTCGCGAGCTACTCAGGAGTTGATTTGCCAAATTGCACCAAATATTTCTCTGCTACATGTGGACATGAGGATAGAATGGCCTGTCATTTCTAAAAAGAGGAAAGTGGGGACCATCTACTCGGTGTTTGTGAGAGCGGAGTCAGGCTTAGTAAAAAAAGAAACAAAAAACAAACACGCACAAAATGTGACTTAGATAATTATTTACAAGGGTCACATTCTTATCTACTTATTTAAACAAAAAAGGCCAACAAATCCTTGAATTTAATACCATGTTCCATATGTGAACACTCTTGAAGGACACTTGGGCTTGTGCTATGAGAAAGCCAAAGGGCCAACAGTTGAGTATTTGATGATGGTTATAATCGCAGGAAAAGAAACCCCCCCTCCCCCATCTCTCAAAGCATAAAGTGAACACATTTCAGCTCATCTGAAAACTCCAGATGGATCATTTCCACAGGGTCAAAACCTTGTCGTTGTAACTAATACTACTTTGAATTAGTTCTCGCCTCTTATTACAACACGCTGCAGAGTTGCGTGAGGTTACGCAAGTGGCGAGACAGGGACACTTTCTGATGACAGTTCCTCATTTCAAATATTGCAGTGACGACACGGCAGGCAAACGAATAAGGAAACAGACGATCAAGAACAGTGAACCCCTGCATTGTCGCGCTTCGGCATTCCCGAACTATGTTGACATAGAAGAAGAGTTTCATTTCAACAAAAATAGTGCTTTGTTGTCATCTTGATATAGCGGAAGTGAGTTGTCGAGTTTGATTTATACCGGCAAAAAAAAAATAAACCATAAAAAAAAAAAAAATAGTAGTTAGCCGCCAACTTTGTGTCAAGGAACTAAGCTGAAGTGAGTCGAGGAGCGCCTTGCTGCCATCATGGCAATGAAAGGCAACTGTAATCCTTTCTGGGGGGAGTCAATCACACACATTTCTTTTCGTTAGTTGCAATAGGGCTCGTTTCTGATGCCCCAGGAACGGCGGAGGTTCACTGTACTTGATGGATGTCGTCGAAATGAGTGCAAACAGAACGAGTGCAAATGAGCCCAGAAATGGCTTAAACATTTTGAATGCAAACTCAAATATATGCACATAAAGTGAAGGCCCTTTGGTAATTTGAAGTCAGGAGGGATATGTCCCCCCCCAACCTAAAATTAAATTAAAAAGGATCAAACAATGACACAGCCCATTCTGCGTCTGCATGAATCTGTTTTTTTTTTTTTTTTTTTTTTTTTTTTAAAGCTGTGGCGAGATTAGCTGCCAAAGAATAGGGAGTGCTGGGCACGAACACATTAAAAGCAGCCAACTGCACGCCCGGTCTGTTTTCTCACAGTCAGCTCTACCTCAGTTCCTTTTGAGCATCTGTCAGCCAGCTCACAGCTGTCCGTAAATAAGCACGTGAGCAGCATTGGAGGCGCAGAGAATTCTTGATCAATGTCCGTCCAGAAAAAATAACTGGCTGCTCAATTTTTTTCCCCGTTTAACGTGCCACCGCCGCCGTCTCCTTGTTTACAAGAAGTCCAGTTCCAGCGCTTGGTGCAGGGACACCAGGTCGCTGTGAGCGGAGATCCGCCAGAAAGGCATGTTGTGCTGCGTGGGGCGACAAAAACAGTCAGACTTCGGTCTCGTTCAAATACACAGTGGGCCATTCTAATTGTTGTCCTTTTTCAAACACATTTTCCTCGGTATGCCAGGTGTAAAGTTTGAGTTTCAACATGGCACGCACCTGTTTCGCTGCAAACTCTTCATCGCGCCCGTCGCCGATGACAACATATGTCACTTTCTTCCCAAAGCGAGAGACGATCCTCTCAAAGCAACTTTCTTTACCTGCAAGCAAAAGACAACACCGACACTCACTTGTGGATAATTTTGCAGACGGTCACATGAAATGTTAAAGCACTACAATGGGGGGCTGCCGTTATGGGATGTGTCAAGACTATTTCGGATCAAAGCAGAAAATGGGACATGTTGTGTATGACACTCATGTTCCTAATAGTCTGGCTGAAACATCCAATCGAGATGAGCTTTCCGCGGGTTCTATGACTAATGCGTTCTTTTTTTGGCAGGACAGTCATGGACGATGAGGCCTGTATATGGCTGTACCTATTTTTGTGGCGCTGTAGATATTCTCGATGGGGAAGACGTCTCCCAGGCCGTAGAGCAGCACCTTAGCCAGCGCTGGCACCAGTTGAGTGGTTGTGACCAAGACATTGACACACTTCCCCCTGTCGGTGAAACAAACTTTAACTCATTTACTCCAAAAGACATTTTTAAACGTCTTTTCAGACTTGGTCCAGAATTGGCTGGTACTGAATGAGTTAACTTCGTTATAGACAAGTGATCGCTGCCGACTGCTTGATTTTTTTGGGAGTGGAGAACCTAAAGTGTCATTAAAAGCAAACCTGGACTGGATGAGCAGTAGAGACTTGAGCGCTGTGCTGAGCCAGGAGTCAGTCACGTTCTCGATATCGGACTGAAGCCGTAAAAGCAGCTCCCTCTTCACCGGACTCAACAGGCCTGCAGGGCAGCAGCAGCATTATTTAAAACCCACATTACATTTTTTTTTTTTTTAAATAACCAACACTGCGTCAATGTAACTGTTTCCAAATATCTGTTAGTTGACAGTTGTCAGGCAGGAGAGTTACAAGCAAACAAACAGTGAAAAACAAACCCTTTTCTATTTATCTAGGCTGAAACCTGTTTGATGTACAAAGTCTGACTTAATGGCCTATTTGGAAATATAACAAGACTTGGAACTAGCTTAAATCCGCTCGCTGGTCACATCTGGTGCACAGGCGCCACCTGCGGAGCTCAAACAGAATTTCAGACATATTCACTCAATCAAACAAACTTTTTTTAAAAGACCGTTATGAATGCAATTTAAGACCTACGTCACTCACGGGGGTTTCCTCAGTAGAAACAACGGAAAATGGTGACGTGCTATGTAAACTCACCTCCGACATTTCCCTTGTAGCTGTTGTAAATCTCTTTTAGGCGGCGATAGCGAAAGGCCAGTTTGCGCATCCACTCCACACCACCCTGGACGCCTGTCGTGGCTCCGGCTGCACCTCCGCCGCTGGGGCCGTTAAATCCATCCGCCAAGAAATTGTAATTACTTAAAAAAAAAAATCATAATAATAAATTAAAAAAAGGAGACACGTTGCTGTAATTGTACAAAATCCATTCAAATAATCACAAATCCTTTTTAAAAATGTTATTTTAGCACAGCTCAGTGTTCCCTGCCCGAAAAAAAAGCACCTTAGGTCCTGCCCGTTGTCGTCGGAGGCGACATCCTCCACATGGACTTGGTCACATTCCTTCAAGTAGAAAGTAGACCTCGTTGTCATAAATTATATCCAGTAATCCACATCTGGTTCAGTCAGACCCCAAACATCCAATCATTTTCTCTCGGTTGTCAAAAAAAAAAAAAAAATTCCACTGTACCTCTAAATCGTTGAAGAACAGGTGGTTGTCAGCCAACTCAAAGATAAACTCCTCCATCTGCAAGCCCAAGTTCAACATGGTCGCCGGGTCCTAATGCCGTATAAGAAAAGAGCTCAAAATACAGAGGACATCGTCTTCGCAAATTTTCTTTATCGTTCATGTCGACACACCTTGCCAAACTTTTGCGCGAAAGAGCCTGTGAGTAGCGAGTGGAATATAATAATGGTCTCATCCAGATCCCAGAGAAAGATCCGCTTGGGGGAAAAAAAAAAATACACAATAATTAATGACCTCAATGGATTCTGAAAAATTTTGCTCCCATCGCTACATGACAAAATGGTGACTTTGAAGGACCACCGGTGACTAAGTGAATGCAATGCACTATTGGCATGATTACCTCCAGGTCGTTTTCAGTAGGTGGGGAGCTGTCGCACTTTTTGGCTTTTCCTTTAGCTTTTCCCATCGAGTTTCTGCGTCCGACCTCATCTTGGTCTCTGGCTCCAGCAGGGTGAGACACATTGGTGGGCAGAGCCGCCCCTGCCGGCACATTCTCTGATGGGGACGCATCTTAGAGAGGGACAGTGGAGCGGGGGGGGGGAATCAATTTTGAAAAGTACACTAGTAACCTCAATGAGAGGATGAAATTCGAGGTCGAAAAAGACACCTCTGGGAGGTAGTGCCGCCGAGGCGGCCTCTTCCGACTTAACGGCCGAGTACACGGCCCCTCCCACGGCGGCTCCGTGGTCGTCGCTGTTGGGCAGGCCCGCGGGCACGTAACTGGCAGGCAGGTTGTAATACTGTGAAAACTGGCTCTGTCCCAGTGAGTTGTAGCTGCTAAAGTCCTGAGGGAGTCCCAACAGAAAGATCATCTGTCACTCCCATCTATCAACATTTTGCTGTAGCTCAGGGGTGTCAAACTCATTTTTGTTATGGGCCACATTTTTTATGACTGAAAACATATCAAAAAGTCAAAAATAACGGTCTATTCAACTATTGTTTAAATTAGTGTGATGTGTGTTTGGTAGCAAGAAAATGCGTACAATGTCTTTGTTATTTATTAAATGTGAGAATTTAGAATTTTGGTCGAGATCTTAGCAATCATCATGGAAGTTGACATGTTTGATTTGCTTTCGTGGGCCACATAAAATGATGTGGCGGGCCAGATCTGGCCCGCGGGCCTTGAGTTTGACACATGTGCTGTGAACCACGTACTGAAGATTAGTGTCATTGAAAATAAACCAGCACTTACTTGGAGAGCTACCGTGGTGGATGCTGTGGTAGCGGCCGTTGCCGATGGGATGTTGGAGTACACGCTGGATGTTGTGAAACTCGAGCCTTCGGAGGAACGCACACGCAACGCAGACTTGAGTCAAGGCGACAGGAAAGAAAGCGCCACATGGCGATCTCACCGTTGGAGAATGCTGAAAATTCACACTCTCCTACAAAAAATGTGCAGAGTGTGACAGCATTGTCCTGAGCAAGTGATGCTGCAGCTTGCCTTGGCTGGGGTATGAGTAGTGTAGCTGGCTTGGCTGGCTTGAGGTATATGTGGTGCTGAAGCTGAGAAACCCAGGCTGGCCACCAGAGGCCGCCTCTGGCAGACCTGTCTCAGTTTTTATGCCTGGCCACATAGCACCTAAAGAGGACAGACAGCAATAAAGGCAAAGAAGGAAAGAGAAGGCAGCAAGGGGGTTATTGGAGACGGCGAGGAGTTTCAAAAATCCTCCCGTCAAAGCTGTGGGCTTTTGTGTTTTGGAGCAGAAAAACCCGAAAGCAAATCGATTCCACGGGTGCAGAAGCAGAGTGAGGCTCCTAAAAGCAAAGTGACAAAGGTACAATGCTGTGTTTTTAGTGAGAGGACCGTGTTAGGAAAGAAGAGAAAGGGAAAGTCACAACCACCCCCCCCCCCAAAAAAAAACAAAAAAAAGGGGGAGACTAACCAAAGGGCGGGAGGCCATACGTTTGGCCTGTCTGCGGAAAAGCTGAATACACAGCAGAGTGAGCCAGCGTGGGGAAGGCCACCGGGCTGGGGTATGATGTCGCCACAGGGCTAAAAAGAAAGACAATCGCTGCTGAAGTGCGTACATGACGAGAAATGGCCATCGATTGAATAACGCATACTCACTTGCTTCCTTCATAGACCTGCTGGGTGTATTCCGACCCGGCTGCCGTGTCTGTGGCTGTTACGACAACACAATCAGCAGTTTGACATGCACTGCGCAATAACGGCAGCCATATCAAAGACGGTATGCACAGTCAATATTATGCTGGTTACATTTTTTTCCCCCATTTTAATTCATGGTTTGTTTGCTATTATTATAGCATATCCCCAGAGTACCAAAACATGGACGTATAATAAATCTGATATTGTTTATGGTGACAGAGATTAATCTAATGCTTTTGTTTCTTAATAAGTACATGGAAAGAGGATCTTAAAAAAAAAATACATCACATGTTGGGGAAAAACTAATTGCAATTAGATCATGTTCGACTGGGTGATTCTCGGGAGAAGACAAAAGGCACTTCATCATGTTGAGTTTGGGCCTTCATACCCGAATGTGCATACGTTGCGTTCAATTGGGGTGCTGCTCCTATCTCTCCTTCAGATTCCCGATCCCCTGGAACAGGGATGCAAGGATTCCTTAACTCCGCAGTTGTGGTGAGTCACAGCTTTCGCCATATTTTCTACTCACGTGTGCCAAGTTGGGAGATGGACAAGGCAGAGTAAGAGCTTCCCTGCTCTGATGGGGCGAGCACAGCATCCGGGCTTCCATCCTCTCCCAAATTACTACAAGTGCATTGAGATGCTTGGTTTTAGCCAACGGGATTTTTTATTTTATTTTTTTACAAATGAGCCATGTTTAATGCACACCCCTTTCTCCTTGCGTTTTTTTTTTTTCTTTCATACCTTTGCTCTTTCTCCAGTCCACTGTCTGCGTCAAGCTTGGCTTTCTTTGCCTGTGCCCACAAACCAAACACTTATTATAACATTTTAAGAAGGGAGGAGGGGGCGGGGGCGCTAGAGCTCAACCTCAAGGCAAAATGTGTGGTGACAAAACATGCATCCGTTTGTTTGTTTTCAGGACTCATTCCAGCATTAAAAGCACACGGGATGCTTTCAGCCACAAGAAGAACAACAAACGTGGATCGAAAGAACAGTTTCTGGAGAAATGATGGGGGGGAAAAACAGTGAAGAGAGTACAGGACCGCCCAATTTGAAATCGTTATTCATTAATGCAGGCGCACTTACCGGCAGCTCCTGCGTGTCATCCATCTTTGCGGCAGAGCGACCCGACAAGACAGCACGCCGTCACAGCCTACTCTCTGGACCTGGGGATTCTGTGCGGACCCTGCCTCGGCGGTCACAAGCAGCAGAGGAGACATTTGAAGTACACCGCGCACACACACAATACAACACTCTCCCCTCCCCATGATACGTAAACACACACATCGATGGACCACCCCCAACTGAGAGTCCAGGAAGTGGGGCATCGGGATCACACATCCTGCACGAGACCTACAGGTGAGGCAGGTGTGACTGACGTCGCTTGACTGACCGCCGCTCTCGTGCTTAGCGTGGGACTAAGGAAGCGTGCCGATTTACATGTGACCTAACTCCTGTAAAACCAAAACATTCTCACTCATGTGGACGCTGCCGGTTCAAATGATACCCCAGAGGATAAGATCTAACCTCGTTTCATCGCTCGGCTCACTCAACGGGCCTTTCCCGTCAAAGTAGGCGACATGGAACGTGTTACCTGACATAATGTGGACAGAGAGGCTGAAAATACCGGTAGGTCAGACGGCAAATTCAACACCACGCCAACGCGTGAGGCAAAAAGCACGGCACGTTCTGCATCAAAAGTGTGCCACCTCCAGGGGTTGGCTTTAATGGGAAGCAGATGTCAGTTTATACAAAATTTAGATCAGTGAACTCGTAACACCTGCTGGAAAAGAAGGCCACTGAAATTATTGACACAGTTTTATACTTTTCGAGCGGCGCTCAACGAATAGCATCATATGCTGACCTGTACTTAAATATCGGATTCCAAAACTATAACAACAACTTTATTGCCAATGAATGACCAAAGAGGTGATTTCTTTACTCACAGTTTGTCATGTATAAAACTCAAATACAGCCGAGCTTTTGGTTTTCAGTGTATGTAATGTTGAGTTTACAAATTTGCACGCAATGTTAGAAAACGCTGTTGCGTGGCAAAAGGCAGCTCTGTACTTATTGGATTGTTTTGTCTTCAAGAATTAGAGATGTTTTTCAGACAAATATTGATTCTAATTATGACTTGACTACATGAGTGGTAGTTAACGACATTTTCTGACTTTTGGGCAATAGCGCTGCTGTCTGATCAGAACTCCTTTCGAAAACAAAATGGCTTCTTTTAAAGGGGGCTGGGGTGTTTCTGATCACAAACATCAGTTCTCTCTACGAGAAAGGAAAGATATTGGGGAGAAAAGCAATGATGTCATAGTTGAGCCAAAAGATCAGAGCACTATGCTTCCAATTGAATACTGGTGCCCTGTGGGGAATAGTTTTATCTGGTCTATGTAAGAATTCTATTGAATTCCCCAATTCTCTCCTTCAAAGAATATCTTAATGACAGTATCAACAAGCAAACACATGTTATGATAGTTATTATTTTCCCCACTATTCATGTATGGTTGTCTTATTCTTATGACATAAAAAGTCTTGTTACCTGCAAATAACAATGTAACCCAGCAAATACTCCCCATTACATTTCAGGCTTTCGTCATAAGAAAACAAACAGAACAACAACAACAACAAACTTTATTATCTGCTGACATATTTACGCATCGTTCGTGTTGACCCAGTTTTGTCGTAGTGTTTTGCTGCTGTTGTAATCTGCACCACCCCGACTCTCCAATATCGCGTTGCCATTTTGCAGGTCAAGAGACCCTTCTAAAGGAACAGTTCATCCCCATTCCATCTGGAAATAGCCGACCACCGTTACATTAGCAGAACCAGCAAATAACCCAGCCGGGGAGAGAGGAGTCTGAAGGTGAAACGGCACCAGCCTGATTCCTGAAAACCGCTAGCGTCGATTTAAAGGTAAGTAACAACGACAGCACTTGGTCGTGATCAGTTTGTTTGTCAACGAGCGAGCGTGACGAACTGCGATCACCGCTAATATTTAAAGCGCCTTGCGCTATGGACGATGTTAGCTCTATCTACTCGCGCGCTGGGTATTTAGTTTACCAAATAGCAAAACAGGATGCCCCTTTCTTAAAATTTCATATGAATGACCCATATTTGTTAACAAGTGATACGATCGTCAGACTGGCTGTGAGATCATGAGTTTGGTACGGGCGTAAAAGTTTTTTGCTCCAGACATTAGTCGGGTTCGGCCGCCATAGGAGCGAGCACCGAAATGGCAGCGTGCAAAGCATCGCAGTCCTGCTGCCGCAGCAATAATCGCCAAGCTGATTGGAAAAAGAGCAACGCATTACACTAGCACTACAATCAGTAAACCAGTCTTACCATTGAAGGTGGGAAGTCACAACGCAAACATTTAAGCATCTCCAATTGAATCCAAAGTGTAAAGCTTTGTCTGTTGATAGGGAGCACTATTTTGCAGGAAGTTGGCGTTGCTGCGTTAGCTGCGCATGCGCACAATCCCTCCTGACATGTTAGCGTCCCCGGTTCCTTGTCGTCAGGTGTGGAAACGTTAGTTTACTCGATCATTGTTTCCCAACTTTTCCAGATCCAAAGCACAAATTTGACATGACAGAAATGTAACAAAAATTGTGAACACAGATGAATTTGCTATCCAATTGAAGAACACTTATTGCGAGCATAGAATGATTTAAAATTATACTTTCAGAAGAATTATTGTCGTCGTAGGTTCTATGAAATTCAAATTGCCTTTGTAGTCTATATACAGTCTATACCGCATTTGAATTTCTTTTCGAAAGAAACAAAATAATGTATATTTGTATAATTGTATATGTATAATGTATTTAAGTGTACTGTACAACTATTATTCAATGTATTTTGATTTTGTGGGATTTTTTTGTTATATATGTTAAGAAAAATTGCAATTTGGGTACAGAGTTCCTACCAGAATGAAAAGAACCACCACATTTATCAAGAAAAAAAATAAACGCTTTCTCTCGTGGGCCACATAAATGGATGTTGCAGGCCAGATTTGACCCCAAGGCTTTGAGTTAGACATGTGCACTCTAAATTATCTGTAGCTGTAAATGTTAGTGTGGATGGTTGTTTGCATGCTGTGTGACTGTCCGGGGTTTGCCCTGCCTCTCACCCAAAGTCAGCTGGAACAGGCTCCAGTTCACTCATGATCTCAATAGGGTTCAGCATCGTACTCAAAATGGATGCAGGAGCCAGACCAGAAGGGCAATGACATTGATTTTCAGGTAAGAGAATTTATTTGGAATTTCTGACATTAAATTTCAGTATTTAAGTAAATCATGTATAATCATACAGTAACAATGGCAGGAAGAAAATAAATACACACTGATATACAAAACAGAAAATTGCAGCTTCCAAATGTGGAAGAAAATGTGGTAAACCTGTGCAGTACTGGTACATTTTTTTTACAGCAGGCTTTAAAAAAAACGCTTACATGCATCAGTTTTTAATATGTGCGAGCAATAAATCATCCATTTTCAATACCGTAAGACAACTTCATACATTACTATTCCCATTCTGTTGCAAGATCCATCGATAAATCCTCCATCAAAGCCAATGGGATTTTATTGCACTTTTAAGAACCCTATTAAGCAAAGGGCTTGTGGCTAAAGCCAAAGCTTGCTTCATCCTATTGTTCTTAGTCAAGTTAATGAAGCACTTAAATAAATCAAGATCTGTACAGGAGGGAACAACAGGTCACGGAAAAACAAAAGATATGTGCTGTACGCACAGTACACATGGGTCAGGCCGCCCTGGACAGGCACAAAACATTCACAGTTTCTCTCTACATGATGCGTAAATGCAAAGACATTTTGAACAGGGTTGGGAGTGTTTATGGCAAAACATTCTACTGAAGAAAATGATTGATGGATATATTCTTTAGACCTGTTATTGCTGGTTGAATCACATGTTGATGATCTATCAAATAATATAAATCTCTGACTGCAAGAGTCTCTGCTTGTGAATGAAGTATTTGGGGGGGAAGGCATTCAATAAATATAGGTTATATTAAATCAATGGATACATATACATCTCTCTCTCGATTTATATATATACACAGTACACACTGGGAAATGTTAGCTTACTGTATATGCATATTACACAGGGTAAAAACAGTGGATCTCTTCTGTTTCTAGAAACACAAATCGAATTTCAAATGTACATATTTAGAATTGGAGATTTCACTCCATCAGGACATGTTAAATATGGTCCCAGGTAAAGATACCGTATGAAAAAAGGAGAAGACAGATATGATCAAAGTCTTGACCCATGTTTCCAGATGTGCAATAGCGCATTCACATGAAATCAAATTGCATAAATCAACCTCGTGATGGTTTCAGTTCAAGCATACAGTGTATGCAAACATGGAATGAAGGCATCACCCTGAACAGCCAGTGTGCCCCCGTCAAAAGTCGAGTGGAATAGTAGTGGAGGGGAAAAAAAAAAGACTCTTGCAGGCGCCGCCCCAATTGCGTTTTCAACATCAGGCACTTCTCGTTGTCACATCAGAAGCCGTGAGGTCCTGTCACCAGTGCGGTGAGATCGTATGATTCTGAAGTGCAGCAGTACTTGGCACACAGAGTTTGTTTTAGGTGCTAGAGGCAAAAAAATTTAGGGCCAGTGTTGTTGTAACATGAGTCCATCTCAGTACACGAGTCATTGTAAAAAGCTCTTTCAAGGTTTGACCCTCAGTAGGTCCCTTCTAGACATGCGGCTCCGTGTGGTCCCCGCCGTCAAAACAAAAGTCAATCCAGAGCTCGTCGTCTCTGGGAGAGAGACTGTTGATAAGTGACGCTGGTATTCACAAGAAGGAATGCTCTGCCGGCGGCCCGTAGGAAAATCCTGGGAATGCCCCTGCTGCTTCTTTGATACTGCTGGTCACGCTGAAGGGGTCGTTGCTCAGGGAGGAGGACACAGGCAGGTGGGTGAACTCTGGGTCAAAATGGCGGAGGTCTGTGGGGCCACTCTGCAAAAATCAAGCAGGATGGAAATGCCATTCATATTTGGTGTTGATTGGTGTATTGAACCAGAAAAACTAAATATTGGCATTTGACCACATTTTCTTGGTCAGCTGTGTAAAAATGAACCATCACAAACTACAGTTCAGATTGGATCGACAGCACCGATACTGGCTGCTGTCCAGTATTGCACTCGATGTATTGAAGCTGTGACGTATCCTAATTGGCAGAACTCTTCACTATAATTTCATGAAGGACTTCTATCCCACATCCCAACTTGAAATCAGTTGAACTTACCACAGAGGGAATGAAGGGCGGCGTGATCTTCTTGGCCATCAGGTCGTCCCAGTTGATTGGTGAAAAGAAGGAGTGGTACTTGAGTTCAAGCTAGAGAGAAACAGATACTTTGATCCCATGCATCTTTGGCGAGTTCCACATCGAGTGTTATCGAATGCAGCTTTGTGTGCTTACAAAGTCATCCTTCACGCCCAGTCTCTTGGTACGATCCTTCTGCAGGAGCCCCTCGAGCAGCTCCCTCCCCGAGTTGGACACGTTGGGTTTGAGGACAGGAACCTTGTGCAGGATGTTGTTGTACATCTCAGCTGTGTTGCGACTGTAGAAGGGAGGCTGCGTAACGCAAAAGGAAGGGTGAAGCATTTAGTTTAATCCAACCCATGCATGGGGAAAGTGGGCACAATCCCATAATGTCACACTTTCTACTTACAAGTCCATAGAGCATTTCATAGAGCACCGATCCCAAACACCACCAGTCAACTGTGCGGTCATAGGCCTGCTTCTGGAGAACTTCCGGAGCCAAATACTATTAAGATTAAAAGGCAAGAGGCATTTAATTTGCTAATTTTCTGTTCACCGATCGATGGAGTGTAACTGCGCAGACGTGGCTTGTACCTCAGGCGTCCCGCAGAAAGTTGTTGTCGTGCCGTTGGGTTCAAGTCCTTCTTTGCAGAGACCAAAGTCCGTGAGAACAATGTGGCCTTGGGAGTCTAACAGGATGTTCTCGGGCTTAAGGTCCCTGTGAGGAAAAAGGGACAGCGATGACACAATAATCGTTGTCAGTTTCAAGGCGGCAAACTGAAAATGCTTTCTTGCAACTGTCCACTAGAGAGCGCTGTAGGGTTTTTTTTCTTTATATGCTTACCTGTACACAATGTGCAGTGAGTGGAGGTAGCCCAGTGCACTTGCAATTTCAGCAGTGTAAAATCTGGCCCGGGGTTCCAAAAAGATCCTTTCTCTCTGAAGATGGTAGAAGAGCTGAAAGGACAACAGCTGTCAACTTTTACGACTAACACATTTTTTTTTTGTGAGTTACAGTATTTCAAGATCACGTGAGGCGTACCTCTCCACCGTTCACGTAGTCGAGTACAAAGTAAAGCTTGTCAGTAGTCTGGAAGGAGTAATGCAGTCCCACTAGGAAGGGATGCTTGATGTTCTTCATAAGAACGCTGCGTTCGGCCATGATATGCTTTTGCTGGATGGGAGGGGGGAGAACGGCATCGTTTATTTTCCATTTGTTATTTCAACATCAAAAACGTATATTGGTTCATAAGACCTTCGGAAATGTACTCTACCTCTTTCTTCTTCAGGATAATTTTTTTCTGGAGCACTTTGACAGCGTAGTATTTGGTGGACTCTTTGTGTCTTGCGAGCAGAACCTGCAGAAGCGCAAATGCACATTAGTATTGCTACTGTGGGAAAACAATACAAAAAAAAGAGGCACCCAAAAGAAAATGACCTTTCCAAAGCTGCCTCTGCCGATGATCTTGAGGTAGTCGAAATCACAAGGTTTGATCCTGCACAGGCACATCCACACAAATCAGGATTTTTGCGTATTTATCATTGTCATCATCATAATCAATGCGGGTACTTACTGAGTGTCCTCAGCAAGTGAACTTTGCGAATTTAGGAACCTCTGAAAGAAAAGAACGAGGAAACATAAGTATACGCTGATATTTCCACACACACACACAAAATGAAAGGCACAGTGAGTCATCCATCTCTGCTTACCCTTCTTTCAGCAAGATCATGTTCGGCCTCCTCATTCTGATTCTCATCAATCTTTAGGAAGTTGTTGACTTCAACACTGGGGGGGGAAAAAAAGGATTAGAAGCATTCAACTACCTTTCTCCTTCCTCTTGTAGCAACGTAAATCTCGGTTGATGTTTTTCCAAGATCACAAAGGTACATTTGAACGACATTCTTTGACATGCTAACTGCACTCCCCTCGCGAATGAACTGCAGACAGGTCAAGTTTACAACCGGAGCCTCGGCGTTAAACCGACTGAGCGAAATCTTAAGCGGCTGACCCATGACAAGGCAGCCAAGTGAGGACTCAACCAGGTGCCCTTTTGGAGCATTCAAGGACACAGATTTGATATTTTGTCCTATAACAGATTAAAAAACCTAAAGGCCTACCCACCAATTTAGCCAACTGCGATGGTACAACCCATATATGTTTTAATTTGATTATAGGTTTATCTAGTGGACACCAGGGATTTTCTGTACAGGTGATTAAGAAGTGTGCAGGTTGCTACAGGCTCACCATAAAAGGCCTATTCTTACCCCGGGCTTCTTGGACCCAGATTAAGCCTTTCACAGAATGTTCTACACAGCTCAGGGGGCAGATTAGATTGGCCAGTGATCTCAATGGACGCGTGGTCAGAAATAACTACAAAAGCTCTGACAGAAGCCCAAAATGCCTCTTGCGTCTCATTCTCATATCTGTTCAAACCACAAGAGGGTTTGTTTTGTCGTCAAATGCTGTATACTCACTGTTGGCAGATATGAGGGGTTGACACCAGTTTCTGGATGAAGTCATTCAGCCCCATTTTTCTCTCCTTGATGAAAGCTGAAAATGGAAACAAAGGAGGTTCAAACGGACTCATTGGTCCCATGATGAGGTACACAAGTTTCAGTTTCGTATTGAAAATGCTGCCTTAACCAAGTGAGATATGATATATGGATTTATTTCCGCAAGCGAATTCAATAATCCAAAAGAAACACTTCAACAGGCAAGACGCATCAGCACTTCAAATCTTAAAATAAGAAAAATTACATAATTAGAATTTTTTTCATTTTTTTTTTTTTTTTTTAACAGCACGGTCCTCATAAAAGTAGACTTTTGTCGGCTTTGTTTTTTTGAAGGTGTACCTAATGTAGCAGGTGAGCGAGTGGACAATAGACAAAGGACATACTTCAGCATGTCGTAAACAAAAGAGGTTTCATTCCAGTGAAAAGGAAAAAAAAACTTGGTGCAATAATCCGTTGTGTGCGAGGTCCAAAAATCCTTTTATAGGACAGATTTGCGCCGTTCTCATTGCATGGAACTCTTAATACTGCGGGCTTATTCGTTACGCAAGCTCTTGGGTGCATTGGAGGCAGCCAACGAAGGATTTTCCATTCAAAAAAAAAAAAAACAAAACTTGTGAACTTGAAAGAGTGCAGTTCTGTATGATATTAAAAGGTATTTGCGCGTAATTGCGCGTAAAACACAACACTGACACAATACCGAACGCGTTATCCTCCTGATAGGTAAGAGAAGAACGAATGCAGTAGTATTTTAGCAACCAGGATATCTGGGCGGAATTAGAAACCCGAATGAATCAAAATAGGTCAAGCAAAGAATATATGACACGGGACGGTTAGAATATTTTGGTCGCTCACCGGTGAGAACAGCAACAATTCCCCTCATTTTGCAATACGTGAGATCGCATCCCGCTTCCGTTACAGCCATGGTGACAAGCCGAGTTAAACCACACCAAAAATTTAAAAAAAAAACAAAAACAATATTTCCTCAGTAATATTTTCAAAGTCAGATGTCGCCGGCTCGCTTTGCTCCAATTACGCACGTAGAACCCAACCGAACACGCTCCACTCGAACTTGCCGAATGCCGATACCGGCCAGCCACCTCGTTTATATCAACCACGTGGTGTGTGACGGTTCCGCCCATTCACGTCACAACCGTCGCCATGACAACCGAGGGGGGCGTGACGTCACGGGATTCCGCTGCACCCATACTTCGCCTGCAGAAGGTGGCTCGTGACGAACACACTGCAGAGGAGGAGGAGGCGGTGGTGGAAGAAGATGTGGGAGTGTGAGGATTTCTTCCCACCTCGTTTCCCTCCACGGCAGGCTGCCACTGACTGCCGTTGAGAGAAATCTGTCTTATCTATCTCTCTATGGGTGGTTGGAGCAGATATTTCCCTAATGTTTGAAGGCGAGAAACCTTTTGTGCCATTTGGACCGTGAAAAGTGCTCGCAACTCTTGAATGTATCTCTCATACGACCTAAGGTTGTCACACATTTCACTCAATTATGATTTGTTTTTCACTCAGATGGCGTCTCGGTGCCATGGAACATTTTGACAGTGGGAACCGATGCCGTCTGACCTTCCCGCATTGCCGCGCATAAGGTCCATTTTTACGTCAATAGCGAGCAAACAACGTGGGGTGTAATAATCCTGTATGAATGTAATCTATCGATGCGTCTATACATGTCTCCCTTTCACAACTCTTTACATCGCCCTTCGCCTAACCGCGAGGTCAAGGTAACCCTGCCAGGCAAGCGGAATTATATAAATTCAGAGAAATGAGACATGACGCCGTTGCTACGCTAAGCTGCGGCAACGATCGGTCCATCTGTTGTGGATGTGGTCCACTAACCTTGGAAGTTACATAAGTGTGCCATTATGCAAATCACTATCCCGAGCTTGAGGGGCAATGACGGACCTGCACAGCAAGCTAGCCAGTGAGTCATGTTTTTTTTTCTTCTTTTCTTTGCCTTGAGAGCCTCAAAACGTAACACCTGCTCGAAATGTGAGTTTCATTCATCTACCAGTGGACAACCCCTTTATGGTTCTTCTTTGTTTTGCATGTGACAGTCATGTATTCATCAACGGAAGCGAGACTGAATGAGGCCAGTCGTATTTGTGTCATGGAAAGAGGAAGTGAAGAGCAGTTTGTGGCATCAAAAAAAAAAAAAAAAAGACACTTGCAGGTGCAGTGGTGCTGAAAGGCAATCCATCAGCGCAAACGCTCGGCTCTCGTTACACAAAGAAACACGTCAGCTGGGAATATCATGATGCCAATCCTATTTGAGGCTTCTCACCTCGTTCCTTTTAATTATTCACTCACGGAATTGTTGTCATGATAGTACAGTATCTGCGAAGCCATTCACGACTCTATTGTTTCCTGTTTTGTATTGTTCGTACTAATGTGCAGGAATAAGAAGGTTAAAACCTCATTTCCTACACTTTGTGCTTTGTCGGGACTTTTCTGTCCCTCCTGGTACAAAACGTTAATGCGGCTCCCACATTAGAATAGTTAAGCGCCATCGATCACTGTCAAAGTCTTTCTGTTCCCGTTCCAAATAAGGCTATCGAAGTTGAGTATTCAATGGAGATGTAAATACCTTGAAATGAACCTGTTACTACAGTGGACAGATTATCGTGCGATCAGGTTACAGGGTGCAAGAAAGGATTAAAGAGCCAAAATCAGGATTGACCTCGTTGTTGGAATACTTTCAGAGGAAAGTGCATCTTGTTGTCTCCTGCGCTCGTGCTGTCAATTGTCACATGTCACTTTCACAAAAATTGGTTCTGTTTTCTTGCCAGTCTTTTTCGTCTTGTGACAAATGCCTGATAGTCAGGCTTCGCTATCACTTCCCGAACTGCGGTCAAGGATAATAAGCACCCCCCCCCCCTAGCCAACAGCTCCAGTAAAACCCCTTGAACCCTCACACCGGGCTTTTCTTATCTCACTCTCGTTTGAGTGATGGCGACGTTTGCCTTTTTTCGGAATGAGCTGCGGTCCTTTTCTTGATTTACATTGTCACCCCAAATTAATATTAGTACGCCAAACCCAATGTGCTTGGATTGTGCGCATTTTGCGCTGAACAATTATGCAATTTGTTTGCAAATAGGGGAAGCACATCTCGAGAGAGGGATTTTTATGATCTGCGTTGCGCGTGGTGTGTATTCGTCCCCGGTGTGTTGTTGTTATGAGACTGCAGAAGGTAGAGGAATGAGTCACCCAGGCAAACCCAATTGGATGCTGAGCAGAAGGGCTGCCGGCTAATGACTATCTTGGTAATTCAATCGTCTGTTTTGCTTGGTGCAGGAACCATCGCGCGCCTCCGTTTCACGCCCACGCAGTCACGACAGCGATGTACTGAACCCCCCCTGCTAAATTTCTGTCTCTTTTCTCTTTGCATTCGCAGTCTGGCATTTTGGAGAGACCCGGGTGGCCGTCCAGCTCAGTCCAGTCACAATTCACTTCATGAGATATCGTCTCGGCAGAAAATACGCAATCACAGGTAGAGACGTGCAAACGCCAACAAAAGTCATCTGCTGTTTGTCGTCACATTTACAATTCAAATCGAATTCGAGCTTGCGAGCAGCTGCAGCAACTTTTTTTTTTTTTGTCCTGGCCACATTGCACATTTGCTTGTGCGACCACTTGTTGCAAGGTGGACTCGCCCCCATCGGACAAATGATGACATCATCACGGAAACCGGTGCCAGCCCGCTGTAAACAAACACCAAAATGTTTTATTTTCAAGGGCCTCGCGGATGAAATGAGATGACGAGGCAAAATGAACAGGACAATTTGCGAGCTGACGCAGGAAGACTGGACAATGCTTTCATTCCTTCCTTGCAGCTACGCAGGTCTCCCGAATTGCCTTCAGCAGAGGTAAAGGACTGATTCACAGACAAGGTAAACATGACTCGGCTTGAAAAAAAAAAAAAAAAACATTCACCCAAGATCCTGTGCGTGTGTTGCTTCAAGGCTGCCAATCTAATTACCCAGACAGTGCTATAAAGGTGCACCTACCTATGATGGATTTCTTGCCGGTCTTCATCTCTTATCCAGCACTATCCGAGCTCTTTCCAGTGAATCAGCAACGGTGGAGAATCTGCCTGCTGCAGAACATCCAGATCCAGATATCTGTGACCGCAGCCTGCGTATCCACGTACACCTCCCTCTGTATCTCCCTCTTCCTTTCGATGACTCTCACTGCAGCGGAAAAGTCCTCGATTTAAAGGCAAACAACTTTCCTCCGAGCACCACCCCTCCTTATTTATTCTTCTCCTTTTCACCCTCCGCTTAGACCATGTCGCTGAAACTAAAGATTTGTGACGTGACTTGTCTATACACCTCTCACCTCATCCAAAAGCCACTATCCTGGATCAAAACAACAGCGACAAAAAAAATAGGTGTCTGGTTACGGCTCCCACGAGTGTGGGAGTCCCTTGGGGGACCCCCCCACCCCTCCTCCCCTCGTCTCCATGACAAGGTAAGCCAGGGAGGAAGACAATGAGTGGATTGTGAGCTTTTAATTAGCCACAGTTGCATTTCATATGCTCACAGCTCATCAGCATGCCCTAGCGCCAACATATTCAATCCCTCTGCGGAGTTTTTGCACCGAACTGATCCGGTTTGGCAGGGTGACAAGCTGATTGCCCTCCGGTGGCAGGACACAACAAGTGAGGACAAGTCTGAATGCTGGGTGTCGACGTTAAAGCAACACGGGGAAAAAAAGATGGAAGATTTGTGCCTGGAAACGAATGGCACAAACGCAGCAATGCAGACTTTAAATTGAATGCCGCCTAAGCCGAGTGAGTTGAAATGATTGAAACAGATCTGAAACGAATGTCATAACACGGTAGTTATGTCGCATTCATGCCCATCTTAATGTATGACTGTGACTTGAGTTCAGAAGGTTGAGGCATAGGCCAGGCAAACAAGTTCCATCTCTGTTGTTATGAAAAAAAATGCTGGCACGCTTTATTTTGAAGGCCTGTTTTTTTTTTTTTATTTGTCCTAGCGTTGTCGAGCGGACCGGACCAGACCAGCACCCACCCCAGATTTTTCTCGAATACAAAGGGAGGCACAGTCATGCTGGAACAGAAAAAGGGCCTTCCATTGTCATCGGAAGAAGAGGACTCAAGCTTCAGGGATTCAGAGGTCGGGGGCCATCCTTTGATTAACCCTTTTCATGCACCAATAATGATAACCTATAACCTGATAAGCATGATAAGCTGTCCACTGTCGTAACCGCTGTCCCTGAAAGGGTTAATTCATCGATTCATAGGTTTTTGTCACACTTTCAATGAGGACGTTTCACTCTTCTCCAGATGGGAGGTTTATCTGCATTCCGTTGAAAACCGACATCACTTGAGATTGCACATTTATACTTTCGTTTGGCCTGCGCAGGAAATGAATGAAGTCCGTGATGCACAATATCCCGGCCTTGCTGATAAACTCCCACTTAGGAGTGACTCGCTTCCATGCGCCATTGACCAACGAATGTACCGTAAGTGGCCAAAGAGTGTGTACTTGAGAAATTAAGTAAAAGCAAAGCTGTTACTTTGGACATCATACATTTTGAGGGGGCTTGTGACAGTGGGCTATGATGACGCTCGGAGGTGAAAAGAATTAAAATACCCGTGAATTGTTTGCTCGCGTCATCCTCTTGGCAGGACAGAGCAGATTTCCATGTCATTTAAATTAGGGCAGAACGGGAACATCGAGGTGAAGAATAGTTATGAATCAGATGTGACTTTTTTTTTTTTTTTTTGTCGCTGACAAGCTTTAACGTCATTGCTCAGCAATGATAAGCAGACACAATCAGTCATTGTCTCATTCAGATGATTGCCGGATGTTTTTTTTTTTTTTTACGGCTCTGCATCAGTTGCCTCCGTGGAAATGACATTATTTTCACAAGTAAACAATTGCGTCATGAATGCAACAAGAGCCGACAGTGTTGGGTTCATGTGGTTGTGCGCCGGTTATGTATCACGACCCAAAACAAAATATTTGAAAGGTCAGCGGTACATACAAGCATTCATTTCTTGGCATTTAGATATCAA